CTCATCAGATGTTAGCTCAGAGCCAATCTTCCACACACACACACACACACACACACACACAAAAGACAGTGTGATATTGGCAAAAGAATAGACAGAAAAATCAATGGAACAGAATAGAGAGCCCAGAAGTAGACCCCCATAAATATGGTCAACTGATCTTTGACAAAGGAGCAAAGGCAGCATAACAGAACAAAGATAGTCTTTTCAACAAAATGGTACTGGAACAACTGGACATCCACATGCAAAAAAATCAATCTAGACACAGACCTAATACCCTTCACAAAAATTAATCAAAATGGATCATAGTCCTAAATGTAGAACACAAAACTATAAAACTCCTAGAAGATAACATAGGAGAAAACCTAGATGACCTTAGGTATGGTTATGCCTTTTTAGATACAACACCAAACACATAACCCATGAACGAAATAATTGATAAGCTGGACTTGATTAAAATTAAAAACTTCTGCTCTGAAAAAGACAATATCAAAAGAGTTAGAAGACAAGACACACACGGGGAACAAATATTGCAAAAGATGCATCTGATAAAGGACTGTTATCCAAAATATACAAAGAACTCTTAAAACTCAACAATAAGAAAACAAACAACCTGATTAAAAAATGGGCCAAAGAAAGACCCAAACAGACACCTCAGCAAAGAAGATATACATATGGCAAATAAACATGAAAAGCTGCTCCACATCATATGTCATCAGGGAAATGCAAATTAAAACAACAATGAGATATGACTCCATACCAATTAGAATGGCCAAAATTCAGAACACTGATAATACCAAATATTGGCGAGGACGTGGAGCAATAGGAACTCTCACACATTGTTGGTGGTAATGCAAAATGGTACAGCCACTTTGGAAGACAGTTTGTCGGTTCCTTGCAAAACTAAACATATTCTTACCATATGATCCAGCAATCATGCTCCTTGGTATTTACCCAAAAGAGTTTAAAACTTATGTCCACACAGAAACCTGCACACAGATGTTTACAGCAGCTTTGTTCATAACTGCCAAAACTTGGAAACAACCAAGATGTCTTTCAGTAGGTGAATGGATAAACTGTGGTACATCCAGACAATGGAAAAAGATTTAGCACTAAAAAAAAAAAAAAAGAAGAAGAAGAAGAGCTATCAAGCCACGAAAAGACATGGAGGAAGACGCTAATCTGAAAGGCCTACATTCTGTTTGATTCCAACTATATGAAATTCTGGAAAAGGCAAATCTGTGGAGACAGTAAAAAGATCATTGGTTGCCAGAGGACATGGAGAAATGAATAGGCAGAGTGCAGAGGATTTTTAGGGTAGTAAAAATTCTCTGTATATGACAGTGATGGATATGTCATTATACGTTTGTCCAAAGCCATAGAATGTACAACACCAAGAGTGAACGCTAAGGTAAAAACCATTGGGCTTTGGGTGATTATGATGTGTCAATGTAGGATCGTCCTTGGTAAAAATGTACCATTCTGATGAGTGATGCTGATAATGGGGAAGGCTGCGCATGGGTATATGGAAATCTTCCTCTTAATTTCATAGTAAACCTAAAACTGTTCTAAAAAATAGTCTTGAGTAAAAAAAAAAAGTATGACAACTGGAACTGTTATTGATGGTGTGGACAAAGAGGAACACTCACTCCATTGGGTAGGAGTAAATTGGTGCAACCACTAAGAAAAATATTACAATATCTAGTGAAATTAAAGCTCTTAATCTCCCACGCAGGATTTCCATTTCTAGATTTGTAATCCAGAGAAACCCTCTCACATGTACGATAATCATCATTGCAGCACTGTTTGTAATAGCAAAATATTGGGAACTTAAATGTATACTAGTCCACCAATAGTAGAATGCATAAATTAGGATAGTTGTACAATGTGATACTACTATTCAATATTTCTAATAAATAAGCGTGAGGAATTATCAAAAACACAATGTTGAATGAAAAAAGCAACTTGCAAACTGCTCCACAGCATGATGACACATATAAAGATTAACAACCTGTAAAATAAAACTTTTTAATGCCTATAAATACACACAAATATGTAGTGGAAATATGAAACATGAATGGCAAAGATCAACAATGAATTCTTGACAACGGTCACCTCTGGAAGGGAAGTAGGGGAATGGGACCAGGGAGCTCACAGTCACCTCAACTGTATCTACCATATTTTATTTCCTTAAAAAAAAAAAAAAGATCTGGAGCAAACATGATTAATTTTAAGATTTGGTTAAATTAGGTGTATGACATGAGGATAGAGTATCTGTGTGTTTATTATATTTATATTATTATTTCAATGGCTGAAATAGTACACAATTTTTAAAATTGGAATAAATGATAAAAGCAATGGTTGAAAGGTTTTCTTGGAAAAAGATGTTCAGTCTGAAGCTATCAACCCACAGATTACTTATTCATTACACTGGGAAAAAGATAACCTTTACAATGGAGATGTGTGCCAAACACTGCCGTAACTAAGTGATCAAACTTCATATAATAGAACAAACTGACATGTCCCTCCTGACATGATATGCTGACGGCATAAGATCACCTGTAGAATTGTAGTATTCTTGCCAAAAATGTTCAATGTGAATCTAATTAAAAAGAAAATCAAACAAATTGTGGGGCCTTTTTCAAAACAGCTAAAAAATGTCAAGGTTATAAAAGACCCCTTCCCCCAAAAAAGGGAGGGGAACTGTTTCAGAATAAAGGAGACTGAAGAGATAACTAAATGTAATGTGTGATTGATTAAATCCTGGATGAAAAATAAAGTTCTAAAAGTACATTTTTGGGGCAATTGAGGAAGTTTAAATATGGACTGACTATTAGAAAATTTTATTGCATTTTATTGTCAAATGTCTTAAGTGTTATAATGGTATTTGTGGTTACTTGCTGACAGATAAAGCATCATGATGTCTACAACCTGCTTTCAAACAGTTAAGAAGAAAACCAGTATATGTACATACAAAAAAAGAGATAAAGCGAATGTGCAAAATGTTAACAACTGGTGAAGCTGGGTGAAAGGTGTATGGGTTCACTGGACTTTTCTTTCCATAGAAAAGAAGATCCAAAGAAGATTCAAAATTTTTCCAAATAAGTTGGGAAAACAATAGAGAAATATTTAGAAAAGTCTAGATTGTGTATGAACGGCTTTTATAGCTCAGATTAAGTTCAGGCATATATATTTATGCCTCACTGTTTTATGAAAACTACAATAGTAATGTCTAGGAAGAAGGCACTCACTTCTTTTTTATTTTCTAACACAATCAAACCGATTAACTCAGTAAAAACAACACATTAAGACCTGATGCTGGGCCGGCTCCGTGGCTTAGCGGTCAAGTGCGCGCGCTCTGATGCTGGCGGCCCGGGTTCGGATCCTGGGCGCGCCCCAAGGCACCACTTCTCCGTCCAGCGCGAGGCCGAGTCCCACGTACAGCAACTAGAAGGATGTGAACCTATGACATACAACTATCTGCTGGGGCTTTGGGGGGAAGAAAATGAATAAATAAAATCTTTAAAAAAAAAAAAAAAAAAAAAAAAAAAAAAAAAAAAATTTTAAAAAAAAAAAAAAAAAAAAAGACCTGATGCTTACTTAGTATTTGTTGAGAAATAGATGACCCTACCCTTTAAATGCTAAAACTTTTTAAAATTGAATATTTAAAATTAGTTTTTATCCCCTTTGCTTTGCTGAAGAGCATGTGCTGCACCCCACAGCCTCTCTCCATGGCCCAGGTAACAGAGTGCTCAGTCCTCCACGGCCCTGAGTGTTAGCCTCTCCCCACTGGATTTATCATACAAACAGTATGTCTGGTCAGCCTTTTAAGCAGCACACATGCAGCTGCCATCCTTCCGGCCCCTCCCTCCCACACAATTCTCCACTGACCCAGCTTTTGATCCATAGTCTGCTGTAATTTTGGAAGAAATAATGGGAAAACATGTTAATGAAGTTTAGTAAATCCAAAATCTTAATTAATCCAAAATTTAGCTAATATCTCTGTCCTGTGGAAGGCTTCACACTTCAGAGGTTTATAAAATACTTTGATTCTGTGCCCCAAGCTCTGTTCTGATTATTTCTGCTTTCATGCCTGTGTTCCCGATGATAAAGATTACCATACACCTGACCAGTGGAGCAACGGTAATTACTACTACATTTTGGACCCACTTATTTATTCATTCACACCCCTCTAAGATTTCTGTTTATTAACAGGATGCTTTCCAGCTAAAGATTAATGTTTATAAGTGGAGGGCAGTAAATTAATTTCAAAATATAACAATGATGAAGCCTTTTTAAAAAGATGCTTAGAAGCCATGGCAATTTTATTATTAGATTAGAAAAAAAAAGCAACACACTAGAACTAAGTATTAATTTTCTGCTCCTACATGAGAGTCAAGACTCTGTCCCTTCTCAGCAGTCTCTCCTACATATTAGGATGAAATAATTCGTGGCTGGAAAGGGAAAAATGCACTTTCAGATGATGTAGTCACTTGAACATAAATACAATTGGGCAAGAAATAGAGTTGTGATTGTGTAAATTCTTTTGCCCTAATTGTAGCCATCATATTAATTATATGAGAAATATAGGCAGATAATTTGAAAAATTTCACAATCATTTCTAAGGAACAAATGTAAATTATTATATTGTCATTTACATGTAGAAAAGAAAAAATAACTTTAGGGAAGAGAAAGTTTGACTTTTTGAGACATTTCTGTAATACATTATTCACAGCACTGAGGACACTATTCTGTTAAAGAGCATGGCTATATTTTATTATCCACTCTACCCCCTGGAGTAAAACTGAATATCACAAAAGTGTAGTGTAGGTATAAAGGGAGGAAAAATTAAGAATTTCTAGACTATGCCTTTGATTTAGTGTTCAGAGTAACATCCCTGGGGGAAAACCACCACTGTGGAAAGTTTGTTTGTTGGATTCCCAATAACATTGATCATTTTCTAAGTAAAATTTCAAAAGACCAGTTTGTTTTGTTTGTTTTTCTAAAAAGTATTTATTTTTCACTAGTGAGGATGAAATCAGGCAAAGAAGTTTACAGGAAAGATGTCCATATATAAAGAACGAAATAGCAAAATATTTTTTGGTCATAATTTAGAAACAAACTAATTTATAAAATGGAGACAGTTTTCCCCAATTCTTCTCTTCCCTAGAAGAATACAAGCACAGGTGCTCAGTTCCGCGATATCCTCAGTAGTCCTCGGATACGTCTGACAAGAGCTTGTATGAAACTATAGCGAGATCGAACTTTTGAATATAATCCTTCAATGTCCAGAAGTTTCTTTTGTAGTGATTCTCCAAAAGCATTGATGGTGTCGGCCTGAAGCTAGAAATAACACAGATGACATTTCATTATTAAAACTGCAGTCTCAAATATTTCTTTTATTCTATGTCTTCCAATTTAAAACACCTTTGAATTTTTGTAATGTGGTCCTTTCTCATGTACCAAATTAACTAAATATTCACATTTTCCACCCTGGAATTTATTGGCATGATACTGATTTTCCTTCTTTCCTTTCTTACATAAATGTGTAAAAATTTAAATTCACTTTTAAATAGCAATAACTGTTGATGCTGCTGCTGATACATGGACATATGCACAAAGGGCCTGAAGGGCCAAATAAGAAGTTAAGAGTCAGTGCCTTTGGGGAAAGAAACAAAGGATAAGTTGGAAAGAAGCTTTTACTTCATTTTGCAATTAAAAAAAAACTATTTGCATGCTTTTACTTTCAAAAAATATAAATGCAGGGAGGGAAACTGGTACATGCTTTAGAATTCATATGTATTTTAGAACACAGATGTTGCTTCAGATGGGTCTTTTTGGTATTATACTGAAAAACTAAAATTAAGTAAAAATTAGTGAATCTACCTGCCTTTGGTTTTGCATTAAAATCAAGCACTGAGTGAGAAGATTATTTATCTTACATTTCTTCTAACTTTATAACAGACCAGTCTAATGAAACAAATGGTCATTAAGTCAACATATATTTATTAAACATCTGGAAGATCTATTGTTTGGCTAATTCTGCACACGGCCTCACTTACCATTAGCTTCCCTAAACAAGTCTAGCCAAAAAATGAATTCCTGCTATAAAGTCACTAAGGGGCAAAAGTAGTCAGGGGCTAGGATGAGAGCATGGTATCTATGATGTCTGGCTAAGTGTGGTTTAGAGGATGCTGTAACTGCACCTTTCCTTCCTCGATAAGGCCCAACCTTCAGCTTTAAGAAAGGCAGTGACCAAGAGGGATGAGAGAAGAGCAGAGGCTTTATCAAATCATGGCTAAGGACATTCAGATGCCTAGCAGCTGACCTAGCTGTAATTCATTTTCCCTAATATCACATACCCTGGTAACTGCTTTGTTTCTAAGACTTTGCTATTAGTTTCATATGAGATTTTCATTTCAATTGTTTTTGGAATGTTGTTCATTCATTCCAACACTACTGATCAAGAGGTTACTAAGTACATAATGCCATATGATATAGTCTACTATAGTGGAATTTTAATGGCTACTCACAATCTCTCCATTAAATTATTTTCTGAAGAATTAAGTGCTAAGTGACACTTTGAGCCTAAAACTTCTACAAAGTTAATCAAAAGAAATTAGGAGTTTCCAGATCATAATGCCTACCAATTACTGAACTATGTTCCAGGCATTACCCTACAAGCTTCGCATATGCAACCTTATTTAATTCTGACAAAACTCTTTGAGGTTGAATTTTCATTCCTATTACTTAGATGAGGAAATGAAGGCTCAGAAGTAAGTTGTTCAAAGTCACATGGCTGTTAGGTGGCTATGCAAGAATTCAAATGAAGTCTTTGTATGCAACACCAAAACTATAATGTTACTAATATACCAGGCTTTTCCTTTCAAAAAGAAAAAAAAGAATGAGAATAGAACCTTACCTGGTCTATGTCATGTTGGCTCACTACAGTCAGTCCACTTCTAAAATCCAGGTTGGCTTCTGAAGCGAAGGAATCTAGAGATAAAGACACAGTCAAACCAGCTTTGCAAATCTATATCTTCTACACAGCAGAAGAACCTGATGATAATGAAAAACATGGGTCAAGATTGAGAACTCTATTTCAACTTGCAGTAAATGGAAGCCCCTGGGAAGCATTTCCCTGTTCTAGGCCAGGGTTCTCACGCTTTTCTTCTGTTTCTTCCCCACTAAGGGATCCAAGACATGCTCATCAGTCACAGAGGTTCACACCAGAAATTGGCCTAGGCTGACCTCCTTCCATTCTTCTGGAAAATTACTTGTGACCAGGGGACTCTGGAGCTGGGTCAGCCGTTAACTGCAAGAAGCTGAGGAGCAGTGAGGAGCAGCCTCCAAGAAGCTCTTACGCTGCCCACAATTATACACAGACAGAGGTAAAATACAAAAAATAGCTATGTCTAGTAACTAAGTAGCTCTCAATGACCTAATCCATTCTTACTAACCTGGAAAGATAAAAAATAAAATGTAACTACTTTTTCAAGGTGCTAAAATCTATAGGCATTTATTGTTCACTAATTTTCAGAATAAAGTTTAGGGGCCAGCCTGGCACCCTAGTGGTTGAGTTCGCACACTCCACTTTGGTGCCCCGGGATTCATAGGTTCAGATCCCGGGTGCTGACCTACACACCGCTCTTCAAGCCACGCTGTGGCAGCATCCCATATACAAAATAGAGGAAGATTGGAATAGATGTTAGCTCAGGGACAATCTTCCTCACCAAAAAAAATAATAATAATAAAAAATAAAGTTTACCTTGTAGTCTTCTGCTTTTAAATAAGGTCCTGGAGGCAAATAAGGAATCCTGAGAATCCGTAGGCGTGCAGTGTAACAAATAGTACTCCAAATGGCGCCAAAGAATAAATAGGCACGTCTCTATGATAACTAGAGATGAGAGCTCAGATTAAAGGAAAACAATCTTATCACATGTTTTTTTTTACAAACTAGTTTCTGAGAAGAAAAAAAGGAGAGACTGTGTGCACTGAGTGATGTATCCATGGCCTCAGTCTAACAGACGAAGTAAGAATGCACTGAAGGTGTCTCCCCAGAAAACAGCAAGGTATGCTGAGAGGAAGGAGGTGGGGACCGTACAGCACCGTGCCAGCACAGTCTCCAGTGTCCTTATCTCCTGTCCAGACAGGAACTGTCTATATACATTATCAGGATTATTAGCTACTCTAAAAGGTAAGAAAAATATTTCGATTTGCAAATATATCAGGCATTTACAGTAATTATGTCCCTTTCCACATGTTTTTGATGTCCAAATAACGTGAGAATAAGTAAACAGTTCCTACATTTGAAGATTCTCTTAAAGGTCACCATTCAAGTCCCCCTGTGATTTCAGTAAGGATACAAGAACAGAGGGAGAGCAGTTTAGCTCGATTGTTGATCAACTTCACCAAACGCCGTCGTGCTAGAACATATTTCTGGGCAGTGGAGATTTTATCAACGCCAGCAGGCATCACAGACTGACACAACTAAGAAAAAGAAATAAACGCAGTATTAAGAATGACATAGATTGTAACAAAAATTTAATGAAAATCTACTATAAAAGAGGTCGTATGTGATAAGTACTGTGAAAAACATTCAAATAAGTTTAAACATCCTTGTAGACAAGAGTTATTATCTAGTTAGGAAGCTAGTAACTTAAAAAACGAGAGCCAAAGAAGCAATTGAATTCACAAATGAATATTCATCTGCTTCTTTCTGAAAATGTCTTGTCCCTGAAACACACATTTCTAATCTGCTGATGGGCCAACCAACCCTGAATTTCCTGTCAAATTAAAACAAAACAGCAGGTTTTCCAAGCAGCAGGTGTAACAATGCCACAGAGAATTTCTGTAACAGCTGTCATGTATCTTTTGAATGTAAAGGAGACTTCTAGAGCATAAACAACAATATGATCATCAACCAGAACCTCCCCTACTCACTTCTCTATCTGGTGTACCTATAAGCACAACGGTTCAATTGAAAATTCAGACACTGGGTTGGGCAGAAGGCGTACTGGGGCTGGTGAGGTGCCACATACTTTACTGTGATGCTGCAGTTCCTCTAAGAGTACTAGCATCACCCATAATAATAGGCGAGGGGGAAGGGCTGCCAGATGCAAACCACAGTTTCAGGGATTACCTGAACCTGGTCAGTAACTCCTGCCTCAACCTGTACTTGCTAGCTACGTGGCTTTGGGTAAGTTATTCAAACTTTCAGTGCCTCACCTTCCTCATCTGAGAAATGGGAGTAGCAACAATATCTGCCTCATGTATTCAGGTAGAACTGGTAGCTTAGGGCCGGGCTCATTGTAAACACTCAATAAATGGTCCCAATGATTATCAGAAGAGTGTCAAGAGGGAATAGGCTTTGACTATTCTTAAGAGTGACATGGAATTTTTCAGGAAAGCTGGTGCGAACCAGGAATGGCAAAATGGTCAACATCTGGGCTGCCACAGGACACCAAGAAGCTTCAGCACTGGCCAAGAGATGCCTAATAGTTCAATTGTGCCAAATGGGAAAGAAGGCAGGCTGCTCAGGGAGCAAGCCTAGCAACTCAGCATCTTTAGCTACAATAAATGCCAGGGAATGATTCTGGGTCACTGGGACCAGGCAGTCAAGTCTGATACACCATCCCATTTGTCTGAAAAATTCACTAAACAGATATTGAAGATGCTGAAGGCACAGAAACATCTTACCTAAGGAACTGCTTCTACTGAATAAGCATCTGCAATAGAAACCTCAGTTTCTCAGCACAAATTCTAGAGTATAAATTACCAAAACTGCTCAAAGGCCGGCTGTCGTTTTACTGACTGGCACGTGGTTTTCTTGAACGGTGCAACTTCACTGTCTTTCATTCAAGAGTTTCTATGTTTATGAGGTGTGGTGCTAAGGTGAGGGACTCTTCTTCAGCCACACAGAGGAATCATTTTAATTCCTTTCATCTCACTGCATACATCGTCTTTACTCACAAGTCTGACACCAGTCCCCCGGCCCTTATTAGTAAAAGCAATGGCTTCTCAAAAGTCCCCACAGCTCATTATAAAATTCATACCTCTTTTATCTCATCTGGTGGAAGCTGCTCTACATTCTGTAGCTTGTTGACACTCCGTCGATGACTATCATAATAGCTGAAGAAATCATTAGCGCTCTGTTTCAGCAGGTAGACGATAATGCCCAAACCAGGCAGGCGCCAATATGGAACTACTGGAGCTTGGGTATCTAACAGAGTTGATGATAAAAAACAATGTCCACTTACAAACATTTTACATGAATTTCAAATGACCTGTTTTAAAACAAGGAATGCCCAGGAATTTAACAGCGTACTGAACAACAAAAAAACAAACAACCCGATCAAAAAATGGGCAGAGGAAATGAACAGACCCTTCTCCAAAGAAGATATACAGATGGCCAACAGGCACATGAAAAGATGTTCAACATCAATCATCAGGGAAATGCAAATCAAAACAATACTAAGATATCACCTCACGCCTGTTAGAATGGCTATAATCACCAAGACAAAAACAACAAATGTTGGAGAGGATGTGGAGAAACAGGAACCCTCATACACAGCTAGTGGGAATGCAAACTGGTGCAGCCTCTATGGAAAACGGTATGGAGATTCCTCAAAGAATTAAAAATAGAGATGCCCTATGATCCAGCCATCCCACTACTTGGAATCTCTACAACGAACCTGAAATCAACAATCCAAAGAGGCTTATGCACCCCTATGTTCATTGCAGCATTATTCACTATAGCCAAGAAGTGGAAGCAACCTAAGTGTCCCTCGACTGACGATTGGATCAAGAAAATGTGGTATATATATACAATGGAATACTACTCAGCCATAAAAAAAGACAAAATCGTCCCATTTGCAACAACATGGATGGGCCTGGAGGGTATTATGTTAAGTGAAGTAAGCCAGAAAGAGAAAGACAAACACTGTATGATCTCACTCATATGTGGAATATAAACCAACACATAGACAGAGAAAACTGTAACGTGGTTACCAGGGGCAATGGGGGTGGGGGGTGGGCACAAGGGGTGAAGGGAGACATATATATGGTGATAGACAAACAAAAAGGTACAACCCAAAATTTCACAATGTTAAAAACTATTAAAACATCAATAAAAAAATAAAAGAATATAAAAAAATAATAATAATAATAAAAAAAAACCCAAGACTACTTTTAAATATCACTGACAGTTCAAAGGAGTGGTTAGGAGCTACTGCACATACTGTATCAGGTATGTACATAAAGCTGGAGACTTTGAGAGAATAAGGAAATTTGGCTGATGAATACAGACAACTTACCCTTTACTGGGTGAAAACCTCTTGAGAACTCTATGTTAGTTATAAACCTTTACACCTATCTCCCCACCCACCCCCCAAACACACACATACAGAAGAAGCCTTATACACAAGTTTGACGTTTCCTGACCCCGGGTGAAAAATTCTTGCCTCACCCTACAGCTCTAGTTATATGGACTCATTTTCAGTCTGCATCTTTCTGGTTGCTGAATTCCCAGCTCAAAGTCATTCTTCCAAAGAGATAAGGAGAACACTAACTGAAATATTAAAAATATATAATTGGATTTAAGCTTTAATATGTCTTTTACCACAATAACTCCATTTGGGTAGCAAAAAAAAATGATCTGCCTTTTACTTGCCTACTTTCCGATGAAGGTGCAAAGGACAGTGGGATGTTGGAGAAGTTGTTTGCAGAGGGAAGAAGAACTAGAAGAAAAATAACACTAGCATGCTAGAGATAAGTTTGTATAGTGCAAATAGAGCAATTTCCTCTTATGACTGAAGGATTTCTTGAGAAATACCTAAGTAATTTCAAGTTCAATTTGGAATAATCTTTGTTTAATGGCCCCAACTGCCATGAATACAGAAGGAGAGATCTGCATTTGCTTCCTTTACTACCATCTCCCTTAACTTTGCTTCCAAGTTAGATCTCATAGGTCTTCAAGTGGAGGGAAAGAGAGAGAACAGTCCCTTGTTGGTGGATGTTGCCACCAACTAGGGTACCCTAGACTCATCTGAACTGCCAGGTTTCCCTTTCCAGCCTTCAGTGAAGATGTGACAGTCTCTACGATACAGGTTGTTATCGAGAGCCTTCTCCTAGTGAACTTAGGTACCCTGGCCCCCAGATAACATTTTTGTGTTATCTACTCCAGTAGGAAGATATCCACAAAGAGGATGATGGTCTAATGCTGAGAGTATTCCAAAGCATTTCAAGAGTTTTCACACAGTAACTTGCTCAAGTCTAGAAAATAATAGTGTTCAGAAGCTACCAGACTTAGACATCAGATGAAGATCGCTCAAGAGAAATTTGACTACAGAAAGAGATTCTGCCAGAAAGATCATGAGGTCTAGGCAGTAGATGTGCTATAGGAAAGGGTCCCTGGATCACAAGTAATAGTAAAATACTAAATGATAACAACAATAACAATAGCAATAATGGAAATAATAATAGCTAACATTTAGGTAATGCTAAGTGCAAGGCACTGTTGTAAAGCACTTTACAGATATTAACACATTTAATCCTTACATTAATTCATTGGAGGAGAGCTTGTTATTACTTTCATTTTACAGATAAGGAAACCAAGACACAAAGAGGGTTAATAATTTTTCTGAAGTCATACCAATAGTCACTTGTAGAACTAGGACTCAAATCTAGGCAGTTCATCAATAGTCTGTGTTCTTTTTTTTTTTTTTTTTTTTTTTTATAATTTTATTTATTTTTTTCCCCCAAAGCCCCAGTAGATAGTTGTATGTCATAGCTGCACATCCTTCTAGTTGCTGCACGTGGGACTTGGCCTCAGCATGGCCGGAGAAGCGGTGCGTCGGTGCGCGCCCAGGATCCGAACCCGGGCCGCCAGCAGTGGAGCCCGCGCACTTAACCGCTAAGCCACGGGGCCAGCCCCAATAGTCTGTGTTCTTAACCACTAAGTCAAACTGCCCTCTAAAACTAAGTATTCTCAAACCTACCACATACCTACCCACTCCTGTGTCTAGAATTGGCAGAGGAAAATATAATTATTAACTCTTTAAAAAGTCTGAGGAGAAATAAAGATCAATTTATAAAGCTTCATAAAGTTCACCTTTAAGTATTAAAGATCAAAGAATGATATAGTATGTGAAAGATTCACTCAAAATGAGAAGAAACTAAATGAAATTTTAATAATTCCTGGTGATACATTATTAGCATATGATTAATGTTTTTTTTTAAAGATTTTATTTATTTTATTTTTTTTCCCCCCAAAGCCCCAGTGGATAGTTGTATGTCGTAGCTGCACATCCTTCTAGTTGCTGTATGCGGGACTCGGCCTCAGGATGAACGGAGAAGTGGTGCCTCGATGCGCACCCGGGATCCGAACCCGGGCCACCAGCATCGCAGCGCGCGCACTTAACCACCAAGCCACAGGGCCGGCCCTATGTTTTTGAAGAATAAATGACAAAATTACAATTTGGTTTGAAAATCTTACGTTCAGGTTAAATTTGTTTTAAAAAGTTAGATTCAAGGGGTTAGACCAAGATTGTCTTCCTGAGGCAGTTAGAGGTCTCCGTCAAGCTATAGACCTACAGGGATTAATAAACAGATTCACGTACATTTATAACTGCCAGATAGAGAGGGGGTGGATTAGATTAAATGTCACTGCTGAGTGCAGGAAAACCACTGTTCTGAATAAAAAGGGGGTCTTTGGGTAGGATTCCCAATCATTCCATGCCCTTCCAAAGTGAAGATGAATTCTTTTCACATTTACCAAGCTACCTGGACTAGAAAGGGAACTTTCCCCTCATACTGATGTGGGCATGCCGGGATCGAAGTCTTCCCGTGGTGGGAATCTTCCCATGGTGGCACCTTTTTATTCTAGTGATCTTCCTGGCAGCAAACTTTTTGAATATAGGAGAAAGCTAGAACTATGTAAAATTAATTTGTTAACTAAGTCGAAGGAACTATTTTATATCTCCAATCTAAATGATTTCAGCATTTACCTCATAAAATAGAACTATAAATCTTTACGGCTACTTCCTCAATTTCTCTAAGACATACTCTTACCTAAGTAAGACTACTCCAAATGAATCACTAAATGAAAGGTATCTTTAAGTAAAGGTACTATTAGATATTAAAGACTTCTGCTTCCAAGTGTGACAAACGAAAACCATACCAGACAACAGCCCACTCCCCACCTCCCGCCCATAGCAGAGAACTAAAAAACCCAGACATAATACAAAAAACAACTGCCTGAAGGTACCAGAGAGTGAAGAGAAGCAGAGAGACACTGGTAGGAAGTGCAGAGTCACTAGGAGGAGGGCAGACAGAACCTGTACAACTGCACAAGTAAGTTCCCATCTCCACGGCCTTCAGCCTGGGGCTAAGTAGAGCTGGCAGTAGCACAAGTACAACAGTGCAGAGGCAGGGGTGCTGATGGAAGAAGCACAGTTATTCAAGTCTGGGAAACCAAAAAAGAAGCTGGGAAGCTGGGAAACCATGACCACTGAAAAAGCTGGGGGAGTCTGGAAAGAGCTAGAGAGGGGATCCCCAAGGCTGCCCACATCACTGACTGACCCCTGAACCAAGTATGCATGGAACACGCTCAAAACAGCTCAGCTAAAGGCAAAAGACTTAAATTGAGACAGCACATGCCAGCTGAGAGTCAGTGTTCACAGTTCAAGGATAGCCAGGATAATTGCCAGCTAAAACAAAGGAAATAACACTCAGGGGAAAACAAAAAATAACAGAATCTAGAAACTTCACCACTTCACAATGTCCAATATACAATTTAAATTACCCAGCATACGAACAACTAAGAAAATGGACCACATTCTCAAGAGACAAGAAAATCAATCATGTCTAATCCCAGATGAACCAGATGTTGGAAACTAGTGAATGAGGGTTTTAAAATAGCCATTATAACTACTCTAATGGAAGGAAAACAAAATATGCTCACAATCAATAAAAACCATAAGAAATGTCAGTAGAGAAAACAGAAATGTTATAAAAGAACCAAATAGAAATTCTAGAACTGAAAAATACAGTTTTTGAAATAAAAAATTCACTGGATATACTTAACAGCCAATGGAGCTTATTGAGGAAAGAATAAGTAAACTAGAAGATGGATCAACTGAAAATATTCAAGGAAAAGAACAGAGAGAAAAAAGATTGAAAAAAAATGAACACTCTCAGAGACCTATTATACAGCATCAAACAGTCTAATAAAAGTTTGGAGAGAACAGGGCTAAGAAATATTTCAAGAAAAAAATGGATAAACTTTTCCCAAAATTGATAAAACACAGAAATGTATAGATGCAAGATGCTCAACAAACACTAAACAATAAAAACAAAGAATCCCACACCAAGGCATAAAACTCAAACTGCTGAAAGAAAAAGGGCACATCCTAAGAGCAGCAAGAGAGAAACAATACCTTACCTACAGGGGAACAACACTGCCATCAATGGCCAGTGCTCATTAGAAATCACGGAAGCCAAAAGAAAGTACAACGGTACCTTTAAAGTATAGAAAGTAAAAAACTGCCAACTCAGAATTCCATATTCAGCAAAATTATTCTGCAAGAATGAAGGTGATATCAAGACATTTTCAATAAAAGAAATATAAGAGAATTCATCACCAGCAGACCTGTACTAAAAGAAATTCTTTGGCCTGAAGAAAAATGATACCAGATGGAAACTCCAATTATCAGCAAAGAATGAAGAGCATCAAATATGGTTAATATCCAGATAAATGAGGTGGATCAACTAGAACTCTCATACGTTGCTGGTGGAAATGCAAAATACTTGTCACTTTGTAAGACAGAATGGCAGCATCTTATAAAGTTAAACATATCATACAACCCAGCAATTCCATTCCTAGGTATCTACTTAAGAGATATGAAAACATATGTCCACACAAATTTCTATATGCAAATATTCATAGCAGCATTATTCATAATAGCCAAAAAACTGGAAATAACCCAAATGTCTATCATTAGTGAACAGATAAACAAATTGTGGTATATTTTAAATACGGAATACTACTCAGCAATAAAAAGGAACACAATAATGATACACACGATATGGACAAATTTCAAAAGCATTGAGCTAAGTAAAAAAAAGTCAAAACACAAAGACTACATACTGAATGATTCTATTTATATAAAATTCTGTAAAAGGCAAAACTATTGTGACAGAAAGCAAGAGTAGATACCTGGGCCAGGGGTCAAAGGAAACAATCAAATGTAAACAGTCAAAAAGAAACTTTTAGGGAGAATGGAATTATCCTGTATTTTGATTGTGGTGGTAGTTATACACTGTATACAATTACCAAAATTATTGAAACTGTACACCTAAAATTGGTGAATGTTGTTGTATATAAATAATACTTTAATTAAAAAAAATTTTTAATCCTATTAGCTACGACATTTTATAATCGAGTTAGACAGAGTTCTTAGCACAATTTATATACAATAGAAGTTATATGTTAAACTAAATTTTTATAATCTATTAAATATGTATTTTTTGTGATTAAGCAATTTTCAAGGAAAATAAGATCCTGAAGAGGATGAAATATGACAAAATAATTTTCAGAAATTTCCAACACAAGACTTGAAATCACCAGCAGTCCATTCCATTGCCACCACCAAGATCTGAATGGGCTTTGTCTTTTGAGTGTCCCATGGGATAACAGCTTTAATCAATCCATAATCCTGCCTCATATTCCAAATCTTCCCTACAATGTTATTAGGAAATCACAGGCTACGTCAGCTTACTTAGTATATTTAAATTTTACCTTGCTATGTTAAAGAAATTTGGAGTTTTAATACAAAACCCAACTTAGACACTGTATTCAGCTTAACATGATTTATATACAAACCGCCTATTATATTTTCATATTTTTCACCTAGCTAGCTTACTCTCTAACCCTAGATCCTTTCTTTGGGGTCTCAAGTACTAATCAAAAGCATACTCTCCCCACAAGGCTCTTCTAGACTTATCCTCAGAAAATCTTGAATTTCTCTATTCTCTTGAGCTTTCCAGCCTATCCACAGATCTGACAATAGCATCTCCTCACCACTCCTTCTAAAAATTGTTTAAAACTTTTTCCATTAATTGCTTGTAAAGAAAAAATTGCGGGGCCGGCCCCGTGGCTTAGCGGTTAAGTGCTCACGCTCCGCTACTGGCGGCCCGGGTTCAGATCCTGGGCGCGCACTGACGCACCGCTTCTCCGGCCATGCTGAGGCCGCATGCCACATACAGCAACTAAAAGGATGTGCAACTATGACATACAACTATCTACTGGGGCTTTGGGGGAAAAAAAAAAAAAGGAGGAGGATTGGCAATAGGTGTTAGCTCAGAGCCGGTCTTCCTCAGCAAAAAGAAGATGATTAGCATGGATGTTAGCTCAGGGTTGATCTGATCTTCCTCACAAAAAAAAAAAATTGCATCTTACTAGAACCAACTAGAGCTTGTCATAATCACAGCAACTAAATTCCTCAAATACAAAAAGAAAGAACTAAGCTCACCTTGCCGGGGTCCATCTCTATTAATGGTTTCTGACAGGCTAGGGGTGAAGAGACACACAGCATGCTGAAAGGTAGAGGAACTCTGTAACATGAGTGACTGGCAATATTCCATGACATTGGCACAAATCTACAATGGAAAAATAGCAGTAACAAAAGTATTAGCTCCCCAAATACCCTAACATCATGGAAATCCATATTTGAAGGAGAACAAAGTTATAGATCAATTTGTAAAATTACAACAAATTACAAATCAATTTGTAAAATTACATCTGTTATTTTTATCAAATATTTCCAAAAACATAAAAATCTTAAAGAACAGTTATACAATTCTCACTTCTCTTACCTGCTGCATAGCCAGTTCGATCTCATCTTTCTTGCTCACTCTATCTCCCTCCACATTATCATCTTGAAATTTAAACTGACGCAGTCTGTCGGAGCCACCAAAGCGACTCAGTAATCCTAAGCATTGGCGCTAAGAAAGAAAAAGATATTTTGTTCATATGTAGTTGGATATGTTTAAAATTAGTGCCTTCTCTTTCTTGAGGGATTATAAAAAAGAAAAACTCAGTGAGGAGTGGAATCACTCTTGAAAGTGTCTGATTTCTTACTTCCAACTGAGTCAACTAAAGTTAGCACTATTAAAATTCACCTTTTTGCAAATGTATTTGCTTGGCAGTCAACTCATTAAAAGAATATCAATTTTCTTAGCAGTTAATCCCCACTATAATTTATGTTTGCTGAAGAATTTTCTTATCACACCAAATAATTCCTTGATAGATACCCATTAAATAAATACAAGTTGATAAACAATGAGAAGCAAAATGAGATGGCAAATAGAAGATGGTTTGTAACAAGCATGTCCATGATAATTTTGTCTACTAAGGCTCAAATTTAAAGGCTGTTACTCCTGTGGCTGCTTTTGGGGACGTCATAAAGGAGTTGTTCCACACAGGTAGCCTTGGCAGGTAAAATGCAAATGTCATCTGCTTGAAACATTGGTACTTTTCACCTGAGAATACAATTTTTCCTAAGGTTCTCAAAAGGAAAGGACAAGCTTTTCAAAATTGGCAGTATATCTCGTGGTTAGTACATGGGTTTGGAATCAGAGATGTGGGTTCCAATAGCAGGTACATGACTTTTTGCTATGTGACCTGGAACAAGCCTCTATTTTCACATTTCTAGAGTGATAAGAGTAATTCTACCTTACAAGGTTGTTATCAGGATTACCTGAGACACTGAATTATATTTAAAGTGCTTAGTATAGTGTTCTGCACACAGTAAGTGGACAATAAAAACAAGTATTTTAAAAATTGGTATTACCCATACACATACCTACACACATAATATATAATATCCTATTTAAACTAACGTTAGTTTAAATATTAAGTCTGGATAAGGCAAAACATATTAAGGAGACTATAATATAAACTTATTTTGCCAAAATAGTTATATCTATTTTTAAAACTTATAACAGGCTGTTTGCTACTCTTAACAGATAAAATAGATACACTAAAACACTTCCAGAGGTCATTTTATGAAAGAGCCATCAAAAATATCTTTTTCTCTCTACCAATGATAAAGGTTAAAAGACTGAAAAAAAAAGAAAAGAGAGAGAATCTGGGTTGTGTTGGTGAGAGTGCAACCCTTTCTGGAGTGCTGCTTGATAATGACTCAAATGTACTATGTGTATACCCCTGGACCTAGTTATGTTATTTAATCTATTATTTAAAAATTGGTACACAAAAATGCTGATGGCAGCATTTTTCTTATGAAAACTTGAAAAACAGCTCATGAAAAGAGGATTGCTTAAGTAAATTACTGTATCCAAAACAACGAAATATAAATTCCAGTGTATAAATTACTCTGCAGCCAATAAAAAGTGAAGATGTTCAGATCAAAGCAGGCCAGAGGCTCCCAGAAAGACTATGATAAAATATCTGATTGATAAGCTATCTAATATGTTTGAATATATAGAAAGGAGAATACAGAACTGTAGGAGAGTTTGGGAATAAATTAGAAATAGGTACATAAAAACAAAACAAATAAAAAAAGAAACAGGGGCCAGCTCCGTGGCAGAGTGGTTTAGAGTTCTGCGTGCTCCACTTTGGTGGCCAGGGTTCGAGGGTTCAGATCCTGGGCATAACCTACTCCATTCATCAGCCATGCTGTGGAGGCATCCCACATGCAAAACAGAGGAAGACACAGCACAGACACATGGCACAGATGTTAGCTCAGGGCTAATCTTCCTCAAGCAGAAAAGAAAAGAGGAAGATTGCCAAAGATATTAGCTCACAGCAAATCCTCCTCACCAAAAAAAAAAAAAAAAATTAGTTACTCTAGGGAAATCATAATGTTGCACAGAAAAGTAACATATCTTCCATGGTTTAATGATAAATGACATTTACATAGTAATAATAATGTAACACTAAATACTGATCTAATCAAATTATGATGTAATTATGTTGGATTTTGGGGTAGTGTTATGAGAAATGTACATATTGTATGGTGGAAGAAAAGGAGTAAAGAGATCTAAATTCTCATCCTCCTTGATGGAAAGTCAATAGATGATTCCTAAAATTGGAAAATCAAGTTGTAGCAATATAAGCGTATTATTTAGTTTTTATAAGCGTATTTATCAGTTTCAACTGATATCAAAGAATCATTGAAACAGTTTGCCCAAATCCAGGGAGCAGAACAGGGAGGGGTGAGAGCACTGTTGAATTTTGTTACAAGCCTTATGGCTGCTCTTTAAAGAAATAAAAATCAGTTACCTGGAATCTTCCAATATGTCCCTGTAGCTCCATTAGAGATCCTTCATTCACGTCAACATCAAGTTCACTTAATATACCTATAAAATTTGGAATGCTTTTAAATGTAGTTTTATAATCAACACAATAAACACATTTAAAAAACTAGGAACGGCAGTTCTATGATTTTATATTCTTTATGTGCATGAAGAGACACAGGCTGCCATGAAGGCGTTTTGAGAAATATGACTATACAAAGGTTACAAGTGCACAACCACATATTCATTCATATGCAATCTAAATCTAGATTGAATTAGTGATTTTAAAAGGCACTTTTTAAAGTTTTTGAGAAAAAGTTACTTTTTATTTATGACCATAGAAGTTAAAATTTCCTAAATTCAGCAGTAAATTACTTTTCTCATGAAAGAGTTTAGAATATAAAACACTAAGAATAAAATGCATTTCTTTTTTCTTTTAACTTTTCTAAGTATTGTATCACTTGATTTTTCCTTTTCCTTTAGGCAAAGTACAGTTTGCACATCCACAAAATTTCCATTCAACTTCTCAGTTTGGACCCATGACAAAATTCCTAAATCAAGCTGATCAACCTCTTGTAATACTGGGAACTCCCTTTATTTCTATCAAGCCCTCCAAGCAAACCCACAGGTCATTCTTCCCATTGGTTTCTTTGTTTCATGACTGTAGTCGTGCTGAGGAGAACCCACTCGAACCTGTCCTAACCATCTTAACTTTCTATGTGCTTTCACAATCCGTTTAATTAATTTCTTACTTCCAAGCATACTCCACAGCAGGTAACCCAGAACCTTATCCTTTGCTCCTTATAATGACAAGCCCTCCTGTTTCTATATTTCTCAAGCCCGTGAGCTCAACACAAATTTAAAGAAGATACTCATATCATCTGGCACGTGTTGGCTTGTTATACCTGACCTGTGCCTCATTATTCCAGTAGATCCCATCCCTTCCCACCTCGACCTCCTCTGGGAGGCTGCTCCCAGAATCACTTTCTTTTCTAGTGTAATAAAAGCTACCCTGCCACAGAGGATTTTTCCTCACTATTTGAAAATATGTTTAGGTCTCCCTTGTACTCTAAAACAAAACAAGCAAACCCTGGTTAATATCAAATTCTTGAAATATTTTTTCTACATTTGCTGCTTGTAATTCGTTTGCCCTCCTTTCCCATCTTAATCCCTTGAAAGCTGGATTTTGCACCTAACACTATCATGGAACTTTGGCTTTTTCCTCTTTGTCCTCAAACTTACTGATCTCTGCCACATATGTTGCTATTCCCCAGTTCTTTTCTTCCCCCTGCACATCAACTGCTGCCTCTACTTAAAAAGACTACCAATTGTCAGCTTCCATAAGACCCTTCTGTTAGATGACACCTGACTACTCTGTGTACCATACATATCAATCTCAACTCCAAAACATTTTTCAGAATATCTGTGAGTCATAGAAAAAAATTAACCTGCTGATAAGGTTGAGGAGGTATGACATATCCAGTACTGGGCTAGGCAATATGGGGGTTACAAAGTATAAATAGGATTATAATTTAATGGGAGATTTAAGACAAAAATACATAGTGAAGTTATAGGATAACACCAAACGATATGTAATCAGGACTAAACTGTGCAGAGTAGGGTTGATAGGAGTGACAATTGTTAAAAATTGTTTAAAAAATTGGGGAGGGTATTTGGCATTATCTTTTAAAAAAAATTTTAAGTATATATATTTGACCAAGCACTGCCAGGAATTTATCAAGCATACCAGCCCAAATCTACAAAAATGTACATGTATACATATGTGTACACACACACAAAGTTATTAAAAGCCACACTTTGAAATTTTAAAAAAGATCAGAAACAGTCAACATGTCATAGGGGTCTGGTTAAACAACAGAGGTCTGGTTAATTAGCTCACAACTGGAAAACTATGCAGCCAATTAAAAAGAATGAGGTAGGAGCTATATGCGCTGATGAGAAAAGATCTCCAAGACACAATGGAAAAAAAAGTTACAGAGCAGTGTGTATGGTATATTTCATTTCTATAGGGAGGGGGATATTTTATACACACATGCACAGAAAATAAACTACATTGATAACTGGTTCCTTTTAGAGAGCAGGAAGTGCTGGTCAAGGTACTTTTTACTCTGTTCTTTTGTTTGAATTTATCATGAGCATCAACTGTGCTTTTCCGAATATAATCTTAATACACTGCCAAGGTCAAATGCTGCTATTAGCAAAATACAGAATGATTAGACATTTAAAAAAATTAACGAAAAAAGACTTCATCAACAAAACCAATTTGCCAGAGGATTTGATAAAAGGTAAATTTTCTTTATACCTAACTCAGTGCTTCTGGGTTAAGATAGCAGAATGAAATAGCATCATAGAATAGCTCTCCTGTTATCAACCTACACAATGAAAGAAATTCACCAAAAAAGGAAAGGGCCAACTTATGCCATAAATACTGAAAAATGGAGGTGGCTAAGGAAAAAAAAAAAAGATAGAGAAAATTCTGGTGGAGCAAGCAGCATGATTCAGCTCATGACCCTTACCCTACCCCTCAGAAGCAGTATGGAGGAAAGAAGATAAATCAACAAACTCTTGCAAATTCTCATGGAGATTCTACAACTTGCAAAGAAGCATATTAGAGTAATTAGGTAAGCCACGGAGAAATCAAGGGAAACACCATTAGGAGAACCACTACATAGCACTATGGGACCGTAGTAGAGGCAAGAAGGGTGACCTGACTTGGCATCATCTAAGGACACTGGAATGAGTTGGGGAAACGAGCATAATAAGCCCACAGGACTGAGCCACACCAAGGCTGAGTGGAGCGGAGGCTGGGATCTCCTCAGAATGAGCACAGGCTCCAAGTGCCTCCCTCAATAGGTAGTGGGATTTTAAGTTATTTTAATTATTTTCTTGAACTCTTTTTATATGAGCATATATCATTTTTATAAATATAAACATTATTTTTAAAAAGGCAGTTAATTCTGTTAGTACCAATTTCAAATAAGTCATATATAGTTGCAAAGTAATAAAGACCTCACTCTATTAAGTGTGTGTCAATCCACAAAGAATTATTAAAAGTCCATTCAGCATAATCAACTCACCAGGAAGTCCTGCTTTACTTATAATTCCTGTCAGCAGAGCCAATTCCTGCAAAGACCCAGCACTAACATCCTGACAGCGCAAGATTGCTTGTATGGTATCAGAATGCGAAATGAGAAACTGCAACACCTAAGCCAAGGAAAAGAGGAGAAATGGAAGAGACAAATGTGGAAGAGCAGAGAAAAGTATATTATAAATTTATAACATCTTTTTAATAACATTGAAGTAATTCAATGTAGTGAGGAAAAATATTACATAAGCATTTGTCTTTTGCACTTAGTTTATTCCTTCAAGAAGGAAACATGTACCTAAAATTCATAAGAAAGCTAAAGATAAAGATTATTTCAAAGTTCAGAAATTAATATATTTAGAGGCTACTATAGAAGACTATAATATAACTTAGAATTACTCTATGAAAACCATTATTTGACTTCTATTTTTTTTGTCCAAATGGAACTAGAACGTGAGTTTAAAATGAGTGGGTATAAAAATGACTTATTGAATTCAAGTTGCTCTATGATATTCTGACTAGTGTGACATGGGGATAATCACATGAAAGCTTTTGTTTAATGCTCCTTTTGATATGCTAAATATGAATGAGATAAAAATTCTGACCTCCGAACTCTGTCCTTCCATTTTATAGTGTACTGTCATGAAGACTCTAATTATTTTCACATATGACATCTCCTCAACTAGGTTATAAATGCCTTGAAGGCAGAGACTATGCCAAAACAAGATGAACATCTGAATCACTCAGGAATTGTGACCTCTTTTATTTTTAAATACAGATTCCTGGCCTTAGCCCATAATTGCTGAACAGAGAACTCAGTAATCTATTTTTTTTTTTTTTGCTGAGGAAGATTCCCCTTGAGCTAACATTTGCTGCCAATCTTCCTCTTTTTGTATGTGAGCCACCACCACAGCATGGCCACTGACAGATGAGTGGTGTAGGTTCACGCCTGGGAACCAAACTCAGGCCGCCGAAGCGGAGCGCACTGAACTTAACCACTAGGCCACCAGGGCTTGCCCACTAGTCTGTATTTTTTCAAGAAGCTCCTCAGGGCATTCTGCTATAGTCAGTCAAGACTGGTGCTGAAGAACCAATATCTTATATCACAATATCCCAATTCTACTAAAAAATCTTAATCTCAATGAAGTAGAAGACAAGGAAAGTCTTTGAGTTTTAAAGAACTGACTCAAAGGCCAGATATAAAAGGGGTAGGATGTCACCTAGACTAATACAGTATAAAATAAGGTGCCACATCAGAAACAGCAGCATTCTACCTTGGTGAGATAAGCCTGAAGCCTGACAGCAGGGGAAGCAGATAAAATTACCACAAATCATTAGGACACAGCTCCTGAGGGTATCACAATAATAGAGCAACACAACAAAAGACTGTAGATTCATAATGATAAGCCTAATTAACCAGTAAAAGGCTAAATTATATATTGTACTATTGGTTTAAAGAAACAAATATATTTTTTGAAGGTTTTACTGAAAAGCAATGAAAATAAAACTAATTTCTAGTGCTCAAAGAAAAAAAATTACATTAGTTAGAAAATTCACTTATTTAAATTACTTCATTCTCTAAATATCACAAGTAAATGTGGCATTATCATCTATCTTTTGTATTTGCTACAAGGCCTAATACAGTGTATAGCCTCCTCTCAATAAATACCTGGTTAAATTACATTTTAGAAGTCCGCTTATTCCTATCACAATAACTGCTTCCTTTTACAGAAGAACAAATTTAGATCTCTTGCTTTCCATCTCAGTCTTCTATTAATTAGCTATAGTGTTTCAAACACGAGTAAAAAACAGGCCAGTGACGTTCAGAGCAAAGTATAAGGGGCCTGTTTTGGATACCCAGGTCTGCCACAAACAGTATGATTAAGGTAAATTCACTTAGCGCTTTCTATGCCTAGGGTTTCGGCATATGTAAAATGAGGATTTTGCACCAGACGATTTCCTCACTAAGGATTCCTCTTACCTGCCCTGCTGCCTGCAAGTGCTGGGCCATGCTAGATGTGAGGATGACCTGGCACAAGCGGAGAGCTGGGAGGAGAATCTGACGATACCGGTCCACCGGAGTAGGGATGAACACGGGGGGGTCTTGCATGCCAAACATGCTGCATTCATTTCCACCGAGCAAGGAGAGAGCAACAGCCCAAGAGTTAAGGTACTCTCTAGCAGTCCCTGACCATCTCCACCGCACACATTCACAGGTGGCTGATTAAGAGTACTAATGAGTACTCTGCATCCCATATAGACAGTAAAAATGGAGTTATTTGAATTTTGAAAAATCTTAGTAACGAAAATCTGTATAATCTGAAAAGACAATGCTTGAAATTTCTTAAACATCTTTATTCTACTCTAAATGTTCCCTTGGGCCATAGAGACTATGAGTAAGAAATAGATAAAAACAAAAGTTACCTTCCCCAAATTTCCCTGTCCTATACCCAAAGCCAAAAAAGAATCTACATTGTCCATTATATTAAAAAAAACCAAGATTTTAAAAAGTTAAAATGAGGTTGCAAAATCACAACTTTTAAGATTAGGTCTCAGAACATTGTATTAATAAAGTATTATTTATTGTAAATGTTTATATTTAAATTTTTAGACAAAAGAACATGGTTGCATGTTGAAGAGAAGGGAATAACAGCAGGATATGGAAAAAAAGGAAATAAATAAAATAAGAGAAAAGCTTTGCACAGACAAGTGATAATAATATGCCATGAACTGAGAAATGTAATTAACTCAATCCTCCTCACCTAAGGTGAAAATAAATAACTCTCATGTTTAAAACTTTAGAAAGCAATATAAACAAGAATTTTGGGGGGCCAGCCCCATGGCGCAGTGGTTAAGTGCGCGCGCTCCGCTGCTGGCGGCCCAGGTTCGGATCCCGGGCGCGCACCGCTGCACCGCTTGTCAGGCCATGCTGTGGTGGCATCCCATATAAAGTGGAGGAAGATAGGCACGGATGTTACCCAGGGCCAGTCTTCCTCAGCAAAAAAAAGACGAAGATTGGCATGGATGTTAGCTCAGGGCTGATCTTCCTCACAAAAAAAAAATTTTTTTTCTGGAGGTAATCTAGTTCTATAGTTAAACCTGAAAACTCAAATATTCAATTTAGCAATGGATCTTTTGAAGAAAATTAGTAAAACTGACCTCAGTGTTATTTACGGCTACGAGGGTATGCTATCTGCCTAACAATGTTGCATCCATGTAGATAAAAAAGGAAAAAGAAAATCCATATTCAAACTGAACTGAGAAATCTGCTAAAAAGCTTGAAACTTAAAATAATGTGACTTGAAACTTTCAAATTAGCAAGCAGTTGGTAAAATGTTAAAATGAGAAAAGTATAAAATACTATTAAAGTCATCAGGAATAGGAAATCCACAACAAATTATAATTTCACTATAATACTTTAAAAGACCACCAGAACTGAAAACATGTATTTCTATTGAACAAAACAATAAAGTTGGGAAGAAAAACATTTACTAACAAAATGCTCTTCCATCTCCCTCTTACACTACTGTTCTAAAATGGAAAGCATTAGGTCCCTACTCACTTTTACCTTTATCAGCAACTTCCATTTATTAGTAAATGGCAGGGGTGTATGGCCAAAAAAAAATCATCAAGATGAAAGAGTACTGCTCAAACAGGATTATAAACCAGTGGCAAAATTACATTTGGAATTTCTTTTTTCCTTAATAATCCTTTACTAGGAACTTAATAAAACCAATCTATATGGACACTTACCCCTGTGGGTCCATTTCTGGGCGCATGTCATAGACTTGGCATTGTGCCAGTCTCACAATGACCCCAGACCTCAGGAGCTCTAAAGCGCCCTGCTGTATCTTAGCCACTCTTGTGAGAAATGCCTAAGAAGTTACAAAAGGAAAATCATAAGTACAGAAACCATACCCAAGGGCCTCAAATAAAAATGAGACTCTCTCATGGCACATATCTCATCTTCAATCATCACTAAAGAGAAATTCTGAGCTAGCTATGAAGGGGCATATCATACCACCTTTCTCATAGGATTTTCATGAGGATTAAATGGCACAGCATATCTCAAGTGCCACATACAGTGCCTTGCATAAATATTCAACTAAACTGTAGTTTCTGTTATCATCATGTGGGCTTATGGAGGGGAGGGATGATTGTTTTGCTCACAGGTGTATTTCTAGTACCTAATGCCACGCCAGGCATATAATAGGTATTTAATAAATACTTGTTGAATAAATGAATGAATGAGGGAAAAAAAGAGTTAATAAAGAATCTAAGACTTTAGTGCTTCTATTATCATGACATCGTGATATTTTTAACTAGGAGGAAACAGAGAAATTAAAACAGATTTGGAGGAAAGGAAATGATGAATTATATACTGTATTGAAAATCCTGTGTTTAAAGTACAACCAGCATATCTACACTGGAATGTTCAACAGGCAACTAATATAGTCTAAATTTTGTGGTGGAAGGACAGTTTTGCTCACTGCTCTCCTCATAGAGTACTGAGTATCATATTACTCACCAGCAGCAGCAACCTGAGTAAGTAAGCAGCAGTCCCATCACCCAACTAACCCTCTCAGGATCATTTCAACCCAACTTTGGCATGCTTAGAAGATATATTTCTAGCACATGTCCCCAAATTTAAAACCCCTTAGAAATGATGACAGCTTACATCATAGAAATATTCAAAATGTAGGCCACATTAATGTTCTTTAACACCTCTGCAGCCCTAAGAGGAAATAAGCTGTTGATCTAACTTCAAATGAATATAAAGCCTTACCATTTTCGATTCATAAGTATACAGGGCTTTTAAAAGGGGAGGTTGTGGAGTGAGTAAGCTCTGCAAAGTATGGTCATCTTCTACCAAGCTGTCCACAAGCACCTTCAAATAGCCACTGTTAGAAAGATACAAAAGCCACTGCTGCTGCTTATCAACGGAGACAATTCGATCAAGGAGAGCCAGGGCCAGCATCTGAAGGAAGAATAAATCAAAGTCCAAAACATGGAGATGGCTACCAAAATCAACAACAGAAACTGTCTTTATCTGGAAATAATATAACTTTTCTTACAAAGAGAATGGTTGCTTGCAATAAAACTTTCGTTTGTTATTTTTTTGAGAAATTGAAAGCTATGTATACAGAATCTCGATTTATTAATAAAAGGAAAAATTTCAGGGTAAAGTTATATTTCTGAAACAAAACCTAATACATTAAAATAATGGCATTAAATATATTTTAGTAGAATCTAAACATTACTTGTTAGAGGAAAAGGATCTTTAAAAATAGCTTTTTTCCCCTAATTGTAAAGTTTTACATGCTCATTATAGGAAACATAGAAAAGTATATAAAATACACAGTCTGATAAACACAGTTAATCCATTTTGGTCTATCTCCTCCCAGTCTTTCTTCTATGCATAAAAACACTCAAACATTTTTTAACATAAGTGAGAATTTACTGCACAGTTTATATTTTATCCTATTTCTTAAAATCCTGTTTCCCATGGCCTTCAAAAACGTGATTCAAATGCTATATTATTTTCCACTAGCAGGAAGTTATCTTCTCACTCAATTATCACCAGTATGCCACAATATTTTAAAGAAATATAAATGCAAATTCTCCTCCACAAAGTAGAGAAAGATACATTCAGTATAAAAGCTGTTTATCCAGCATTCTCTTAACCAAAGATCTTTATTAAGCAGCATCTCTGTTGTTTCTACCAGTGTAAGACGAACCTCAAAATCAGTAAAAAGATTATTCTGAGGGAAAATTCTGACCTAATTGAGATTCTGAACAGAATTAAACAAAACAAATGAATAAACAAAATATAAATTACAAATTACAGCAAATAAGCAAATTCACTAAAATATATTGCAGAAAATAATCTCAACATGTAACATACATTTGAAAAGTTGATTCAGTTTATACCTTAATAAGTCAAAATATTTATTCACTTATAATACTAAACAGGAGTTACTGTACCCTTCCAATCTCATGACCATCACAAGCATCTCGACAGACCACTTCCATGAGGGCAGCGCCGTAGCTCTCAATGATGGCTATGTTTTCTCGCTGTAATTTACTAAATACATCCTCAGGAGCTGTCAGCCTTTCCCACATAGTTTTCTTGGCTAAAGGGGTTATAATAGAAAAATTTAAAACACTCCAATACAAAGCAGTTTGGCAACTGAGTAATTACACCTCATATACAACAAAAACAAAAAATCCTTCCATTACTGTATGTATACCAAGGCCCACCAACCCGAGTCCGGGCAAGTAAACTTTAAGAACACAATGCACATATTCCATGCATGTAGACTAAGACAACAATTCCATGCATGTATAAGGAAAAGGATAAACTATTCTTAAAGAAATCAAAATGGGGGCCAGCCTGGTGGCACAGCAGTTAAGTTCGTGTGTTCCGCTTCAGGGGCTTGCGGTTCGTCAGTTCAGATCCTGGGTGCAGACCTACTCACCGCTCATCAAGCCATGCTGAGGTGGCATCCCACACAGAAGAGCCACAACTCTATGACTATGATATACAACTACCTACTGGGGCTTTGGGGAGAAAAAAGAAAAAAAAAGAGGAAGATTGGCAACAGATGTTAGCTCAGGGCTAATCTTCCTCGAAAAAAAAAAAAAAGAAATCAAAATGGATTATGCAACTCCAAGAGAACCAATATCCTGTATTTATTCTGCTAATCAACCTATTTTTATCTTTTACTGAGATCTATGAGAATTTGGCTAGAAAGAATCAGGTACAAAGTAAATAAGAATCTGCTTCCAAAAAATCAGATATTTTTATTCTCTTGTTTTTTAATTGAAAAACTTTTAAAAAGGAAAAGCATACCCGTTATGAAAGTAATTTAAATGTACAATAATTAAAGATATGATCATACATTTTACATAAGATTCATGTAAACTTTTTAGAAAAGTTTCATAAATACATAAAGCAATAACTGTATTTGAAACTAATCTTATGACTTTTTTTCCAACTATTACATAGCAGCAGTTTTTAAATTGGGGAAAGCTTCTCAAAATCAGATCAGAATTGATCTGATCAATCAATCAATCAAGATTGATCAGAATGGAGAGTAAAAATGAAGCAGGCTTAATCATGAAAAATAAAAGTAATATTGTGGTCTATATTCTACTATAAAGTTTGCAGCAGGCAAACCTTCAGAGTTTTAATAATATTTTTCCCTAAATATTTCTACCACTACTTTGATTTTTAGTCATACTTATTTTTAATTTCAAATAGTGTCAAGGAGGGTAGGAAATTTTTATGTTTCTCAATCATGTCACTCCCTCAGGTCATCTGGTCCCATCTACTCCTCAATCTCATCTCTTTCCACCCTCCACCTCCTCCACCACGCTGTCACCACACTAGCCTTTCTGCTCCTCAAATTCACCATTGACTTCAGTCTCAGGATCTTTGCACTAGCAGTTCTTTATGTTCTTCCCCAGATCTTAGCATGGCTCTCTTCTTCATCATTCCAGCTTCTATCCATTATCACTTCTTCAACTATATCCAACACTCCCTACACACACACAGTATCAGAGTACTACTTGATTTTCTCCATAGTACTTATTTACCTCAGATTGTATTATTTTTTGGTTTCCATGCTTGTTCTCTGTCTCCCCACACTGGACGTAAGCTTATTGAATAATGGGATTCTGTCTTGTCTAGTACTATCTTCCCAGTATTTAGCACAGTGGCTAGCCCAGAGAAGCTCAAATATTAATTACTGACTGACTGACAGCTTAGAGACAGTTCAGAAACACTGCTCCAGGGATGCCACCCGATGCCCTCAGGATGCGGTGCTTTCAGGAACCCAGCCTGAGGAGCTCTAGCATCCTCTCTTCTGTTTTACACATGGGATTGCCACAAAATTCTGTTTGAATAAAGCCTTTGAGTAAAAGTTTGAAAGCCACTACTTCATAGGTTTAACATTTTTAGTCACAGATTTCCTTATTTCAAAGGTGGTTGAAATGAGGGTAGAGAGATGCTGACACATCACTCTACAGACTCTTCCACATAACCCCTGAGGTGCCTCTGCAGGAACTCCTAGGGCTTCATAGTGAAATCTGAAAAACAGTGGTTTGCAGAAGATCAGTGAAGTATCAAAGAAATACTTGACTTCCGCTTTCAAATTGTGACTAAATCTCAAAGTTGCACATATTATTTATTAACAGCACCACCTAGAAATAAGAAAAATCTAAGTCTGCAATTTAATTAGAACTTTCTTTTAAATTTTCATTTTTGGAGGATAAATTAATTCATTAGAAACCACCAAGTTGGTTTCTTATACTCCAATCTGTCCCTTCTTCCAACATACCTTGTAAATCACTGCCATATAAAGTTTTCTAAATACCAACTTCTTTATATCACTTTTCTCTGTAATTTTAAATGGCTATCTATTGCTTAATTCGACTAGCTTTAACACTGCAGTTTCACTTGCAAGGTGATTAATAATATGGTCCTACCCCCTCTACTTGATTTTATTTTCCATCAACCTTCTCCCTTGCTCATAGCCAAGACATCCTCCTCATTCTTTACTCCCTTCTAGTTTGGGCCTTGCCTGAAAAGCCCTCCATTTATTCTTATGTAAATGCAACTCTCCTCACAAAGTCCAGCAAAAGTCTTGATTTCCTTTCTCTTCTTAACTCTTATAATTTAGACTTGGGGCCCGCAAACTAAAGCCCATGGGCAAAATCTGACCAGCATGCCACCTGTTTTCATAAATAAAGTCTTAACGCAACATAGCCCTGGTCATTCGTTTGCACATTGTCTCTGGCTGCTTTCGCACTGGAATGGCAGAGCTGAGTAGTTGCAAAAGAGCATATGGCTTGCAAAGCCTAAAATACTTACTATCTGGCCCTTTCCAGAAAAAATTTGCTGGCATCTGGTCTATATCATCCAATTTAACACTTATTGTTTTATCAATACATCTATTGCCATTTCTACTAGAATATAAGCAGTATGAAAACAAGAACTCAATTAATGTTTCCTGCTTTCTGGAACAACTGAAAATAATCAACCACCAAATGATTATTGATTTTTGTTTGTGTTGTGAAAAACTGGAAATAATCTAAATGTCCAAAAATGGGTAAGATAAATAAATTATGGTATATCTGATAAGTAGTAAAATCTATAAAGCTATTAAAAATGTTATTTAATTTATTTAAAGTTCATAAAATACTGAGTGGAAAGAAAAGGGAGGTTATAAATCAATACAAAAAGATGGCTGGCTATAACCAAAATGTTGTGACAGTTGTCTTAGAAGAGTAGAATGTGGGACTTTTTTCTTCCTTTTGTTTATTAGTATGCTCTAAACTTCTTACAATCAATATTTATTTTGAAATACAAAATAAAAGCTAAAATACTTTTTTAAATACCTGATTATTAATTTTTAGTGAGGTTCTAAGCTTCTAAGACCTGACTCAGGTTAAAAAAAAATAAAAGGAATGGTGAGAAATGTACATCCAAATTCACATCAAGCAAAAAGCCTGTACTTACTACACACACACATTCATAACTACAGCTAGTGTTTTTAAGTCACTTATTGGAGTCAGACTCAAAAAAACAGTGTCAACAACATGCAAGATGCTCTACGAAATCCTTTTAGGCCCACTACTTTGTGACTAAAATCTTAGGTGTACTTGTGCTATAATTCCAGATCATACTAATGCCTAGACCATAACAATTGAAAATCTCAGGATAGGATTCTGAAAAATTTAATAAAGGCAACAGTTGTTTTCTAATCTTCTTCCCTTTTCTTTTTTCCTCCCCAAAGCCCTAGTACGTAGTTGAATATTATAGTTGTAAGTCCTTCTAGTTCTTCTATGTGAGCCACCGCCTCAGCATGGCTACTGACAGACGAGTGGTGTGGTTCCGTGCCCAGGAACCAAACCCAGGCCACTGAAGTGGAACACACTGAACTTTAACCACTAGGCCATCAGGGCCAGCTCTCTAATCTTCTCTTTTAAAAAGATGAATGGAGGGACTGGCCCGGTGGCTTAGTGCTTAAGTTCACGCACTCCACTTCCACAGCCCGGGGTTCGTGGGTTCGGATCCTGGGCGCGGACCTATGCACCGCTCATCAAGCCATGCTGTCACGGCATCCCATGTACAAAAAAATAGAGGAAGATAGGCACGGATGTTAGCTCAGGGATGATCTTCCTCAAGCAAAAAGAAGAAGATTGGCAACGGATGTTAGCTCAGGGCCAATCTTCCTCACCAAAAAAAGATGAATGGATATTATGGTTTCGTAAAAAAAGAACAAGAATATTCTTGCTCAAAAGTCACAATAGCCCAAAAAAAAAAACTATGAGCAGAGCAGAAAACTTCTTATTCTTACTATAATTCCTAATTCTTACTTATAAATAAAAGATACTGCTGAATACCATTAACTTGTCAAATGTAAGGAAAAAGAAAAGCCAATTTAAAGGAAAACAGAACATATGAGAAAAGCTTATAATAAAAGTTCTTAAAATTGCAACAATTTTAAAATTAAGAATTCAAACTGACATCTTCCATACAGCTATGTCAATCAGTCATAAAGTTGAATGATAAGCTCCTAGAAAATGGAAAGTTCATAATGAATCTGTTTTAAAAGCAACGTAATCCATTTTACTGAAATTACAACAGAACATTCACACAGCACTAATCTCACGGAAATAAAACTAAGGAGGATGCACTACATCCTCTACACCAAAGTGTTATCATGACTTTATAGGTTGGCTTTATAAATAAACTTCTATTGAAAACATTAATATGATTAAAAATATCCTGAAAAATGTATATCTTTGTCATTATCAATCTGTCTTTAAATGTGAAATATTTTTATAATACTATAGCTTAAAAAACAAACCAATAAAGAAATTAAGAATATAACAATTGTGTTTCACATTAAAAATTCAGGCTCTGGTCAGATTATTCACATTTTCTTCTAGTGGTCACTGGTAGAAAAGAGAGAGAAAATAAAAGGTGAAAAGAATCCACAGAGAGATATTCACGATGTCAACTCCTGTCAACTAACCCCCAGGGGTTACATATGCAAAAGCAATGTCAGATTTTAATTACACTGTTCCTAATTAAGGAGACATATAAGAATTCTCTAAAGAATTTTCTCAAAAGAATATATATTTTGGTTCCTCTCCAGATCTACTGCATTGCCAGCTTGAGGTGATAGGATCCACCCATAGCGATTTTCTGAACACTAACTATATGCTTAAGAGCCATTTGAATTTCCTTTTCCCTAAACTACCTGCTCACACCCTTTGCTCATTTTTCAATTGGGTCATTGATTTCTAGGTGCTCTTTATGTATTAGAAATTACTCCTTTGTGATATGAGTTACAAATACATTGCTGGTAGGTATTATCTATCAAATTACAATAAGAAAAAATTACAAATTACAAAAAGGCAAAACAAAAAGTTGAAGATGTGAGGTGCTAAGGTCAAGAGAAAACATTCTCTTACAAATCGAGAAAACTGAATTCTAATTCTCAGATCTATCACAGACAAGCAAATCATTTAGTCTTTGTAAGTCAGATTCCTTCTACACAAAACAGAGAAAAAGGCCACCCAGTATCCAATGTATATGGTTATGTTAAAAATAAAGTAAAAGTAAAATTTAGTATGGAAAAATAAGTATATAAACATTAAAAATTCAGTTTTTGTTTTAAAACAAAACAGAATACAGTGGCTGGCACAAAAGTATGTGCTCAATAAATATTAAATTTAATATTTCTAATTTGAAACTTAAAAACACTAATATCTAGGAATAAAGTACTTTGCTATTTAAAATAAGTCAAAATAAGCAATAATTATGACTAAGAATAAAAGTAATTAAGCAATGAAATTACTCTAAAATGATCTAAAGATTATTTGAAAATTAAAAACAAAGCGAATTTTCTTTTATAGTCCCACTGCTTTATCATATCTTGATAATGACTTCTTATAAAAAGCATGTTATAGAGCTCCACCTAGTGGTTAAGTGGTGATTTTGCCAATTCAACTAAATACAGTGTTAAAAAACAAACACATAGGGACAGAGATTGGATTGGTGGTTACCAGAGGGGAAGGGGGGAGGGAGGAGGGTGAAAGGGATAATTCGGAACATGTGTGTGGTGATGCGTTGTAATTAGTATTTGGGTGGTGAACATGATGTAATCTATGCAGAAATAGAAGTATAATGATGTACACCTGAAATTTTCACAATATTATAAACCAATGTTACTGCAATAAACAAAAAATTAAAAAAAAAAGGAAGGAAAAAAACAACAAAAAAAAACAAATTCAGACAAGAGAATGAGTGAGGTGTCTTTAAAAAAAACCTCCTATTTGTTTAAAAAGCTTCTCTGAACTATTCTTTTATTTTTAATGACCTTAAAAATATTTTCATGCGTTATTCAAGTGGGTAGGACACTTCTATCAACACATCATTTGGCTATTATTACCTTCTAAGAAAGATATTACATAAAAATATATAGCCAGTAAAGAATAATATGAAATAATCTGGATCTTACACACAGAGTGGTTTTTAAGAATCTGTGTACAAAATAACGAATACTCATAAAGGTTCTCAGAAGGGCACAAGGAGTCCATTATCAGAAGGTGCTTATGACAAGTTCTTAAATAGTAGAACAAGCTGGCAAAGAGTATTATATACTGGTCTGCTGAACAGTTAAAAACATTTTTCGTATCTGGAAACCAAAGAATCCAGATTATTACTCTTGATTAAAAATGCTAACTACATTACAGAAAGCAGCATTATCAATATTTTAAATATGCACATCTTTTGACAAAGAAATTCTACTTCTTGGAATTTATCCAAGAAAAACCTCACATTAGTATAAAAAGACATGTACACTATTGATGAGAATTTAAACTGGTAGAATTTGGTAGAATCCATTAAAATAAAAATGTGCATACTCTTTCATGTGGAAGTTCTACCATGAAGTATCCTCCTTGAGAAATACACAGGCATATAAAAGAATATTTGGTGCAGCATTTTTGTGATAGCAAAAAATTAGAAACAATTTAAATGCTTATGAATAAAGCCAATGGTTAAATAAATGTTACTTCCATACAATGGAATAACAGAGCCATTTAGAAAAATTCAACTAGACACATTCTGTGAAGTACAGCAAAGGGGAAGAAAGACAGTGTAGACTGCATATATAGCATATTGTTCAGTGGGACCAGAGGCAAGAGAGGGAGTCACATAAATATATAAGCTAAGGTAGTATTTGAGGGTTTGTTTTTAACGTACTCATGTCCTAGCTTCATAATTTTAGAAAACTAAACACTCTTCCTCAACTTCAGAGTAAGCACTTTAATGATCCCATAAAGACTCAGTTACAGCTTTGCTTGCCAAAAGATGGAAAAGTGACTTTTTAAAATTTAAAGTAACCAATCTCCAAAAACAGAAAAGATTAGAAATCCATCTAATTCTACCTGCTTCTAAGGTGTCTGGTTCATCTGGTCTCTGGGCAATCTGTAAGTAATAAAGCAGAGAGCCATAGAGGTGTGTCCTCACTCGCTGGAATCCGCCACCTAGGGAGATATAGTAAAGTAAAAACCTTTTTACAAATTAAAGCTAAAACAAATACAAAAGTTGTAATTTATAGAAAATTTATATGAAAAGACCTGTCTTCAAAATGAAGTCTAACAGTTTCTTCAATATGATGTGAAGTGAAGAATCTCCAATAGAAGCAAAACCCACCACTGGGTTCTCTGCTGGAGGAGGTGAGGTGAAAGAACTATCCAGCATAAAAGCATAATGGGCCTCTCCAGGTCCCAGGACTAATGGTTGCTTCTGTTCCGTGCGAACGGCTTGGCTTAGGTGAGCGGTCAGGGTGAACGCAGCGCCTGCTACCACCGGCATTAACTCCTGTGCTGCTTCATCATCCAGTATCTTAAAGCAAAAGACAAATCAGAGTGAGGACCTTGCTTTCAGCTACAGTCACTAACACGTTTTTATGTTGAGCTTTTCAATTACTATAAGACTATCAGAAAGGAACTGTATTGTTTAAAGAAAATAAAAGCTAATGTATAGAGAGAAATTTAAATATGATGCTGGGTAACACGTGTTCTTAACCAGAAGGGATTCCTGTCAGAATTCCCTAGAGAGGTTTCTTAATGCAAATTCACATAAATGGCCTCACCACTAGAGTGTGTCTCATTCAGTAGGTCTGGGTTGGGATCTGTCTATGTGTATTTTTCAAAAGCTTCCTATACAATTCTAATACACACTCTAGTTGAGAGCTGCTACTGTACAGAATTAATACTTTTCTCAAGGGAGGTCTTAACATTGGCATTACACAACTCTATTTACTCCTAATCTAAAATGGAAAAAAAGGAGGTGCCAAACTATGTTTAAATGATATATAAATATTTGTTCAGCAGTATAAAGTAATTTAGGAAGTATGTCACCTTATCATGCACATCTTGTAAAATATCACGAATAATCAGTTGTCGATCCTCTGACTGAATGAGGTCCTGGGGACAAGCTGTCAGTATAATTTCTACCAGCTGCCTCCATGACTCTAGCGCATGCCGTTTTGCATGAAGACACTGCAGCAATTTGTTTCTTCCTACCACATACTGAAGTATTGTGCTGATTTCCTAAAGCCATAGAAATTGAATCACAAGGTTAACACATAGGCAAATAATGTCTTTTACCAGCAGGTTCCTGTTTTTAACACTGCCTGTTAATCTGAAAACATTTATAGTATGCTTTGGAAACCTTCCACATGCATGCCAGTCAGCAGAGCCGAGGTGGTATGGGTGAAAATAAGCTTTTTAACCTCATCTTCTTTCCCCTTGCAACTGTCTACTTATACTTACTCTGGGGCACTGGCATTGCCTAAAACCCAAGTTCAATGGCATGTTTCCCTGACACATCTTTTATTTCTTTGCCTCACCAGCTGTGTTTCCATGTATGTGTTCTTCCCACTTGACCTCTTTCCCATCACTCCCCACTTGTGATGACAAATTACTCTCCTCCTTCACCGATAGGGAGCAAGTGAAGTCTAACACACAATACGGACAGGTTGCAAATTCTTAACTAGCCTAGCAGAAAAGATGTTATTTATCCTGGCATCCAGACATTAACTTCAGTTCAGTTTATACAAGTTATAAAGTCAAAAATGAAAGATCCCATTAAAGTGTAATTTTTAAGTACTTTACTAATTAATGAACTACAAGTCAATTTACTGTTTTGTCTTCTAACCAGCAATTTAAGTAGTTAAAAGGTTAAAACTAACATAACTCAATAGGGCTTACCTCCATTAGTAGAGGTCTCTGTCCTATGGCTGCCATACCCTGAAGGGCATTTACTTCAGCTACAAGAACCCTATGAAGAAGCTATATAATATGGAAAAGAGAAGAAAAACAAGACCATTCAGACACTGGTAGAACAATAACACCTAGAAATTACTATAAACTGCCCTGAAGGGAAAATCTCAGATACCTTAATAATGTAACAGTGGCACTGTCCAGTTTCTAGTCAAAAACATTAGGTATCCCTACATTCCAGAGAGTGGTACCGAAGAGCCTCTGTGGCAGGTAAGTTAGTACAAATGCCCTGGATAACTTCTTCCTACTAGTGAGGCCATTAATTTACCTGACAGAGAGTTCAAATAGTTAAAACCACTCCACAGTTACAGCTGGGTGAGATGACTACTAAGAGGAAGGTGAGATGGAACCTTTTAAAGAGGTAAAGTTAGTGTGGCCTATTCAGTTTTATTTCCTGGCTCTTTGAAAAATGAAAACCACAGTCCAATAAACCAATATCTCTATCAGGAAACAACAACTGTATGGTTATATTTTTTTCTGACAACTCCAAGTCTGAACCACATGATACCGCAAACACTTTAAAGCAATCCTCACCTTGACGTTGCAGACTGTCTGTCCCCGTAAATTCTTGTGCTCACAGTTGGCAATAACTTGTTCAATCTGGACCCGATCAAAGAAATCCAACTGCAAAGGCTCAGGGATCTCCTGACTGAAGTCAATCGAGTCGAGAATACTTAGAATTTTTCGACGTACTAGAAATAATAAAAAGTAGTTCAATTTTACTTGAGACATTGAAGAGAAGAGCAAACCATTGTACTCAGCTCACTCTCAAAGACAGTACTATGTTCAGAAAGGGCGTTAGTCTAGAAACTGAAGACTCTATTGAAATCTATATTTGATTTTATTTCTAATACATCCATTTACAAGAATATATTTTTCCCATCCTATCATCCTAGTTATTAAAAAACATTTTTTTGGATGACAATCCTTTATATAGCTTGTCTATATCAGTTCAGAATTTGCAGATAGAGGCTTAATAATTATCTCTTGAAATTTTAAGCAATTTAATATATATCTAAAAATTTATTACAAATTCAAAGAGCTTTACCTTTTGTAGCAGTGTCAAAGTGAAGGAACCCAGAGATGGATCTATTTTCATCTTCTATTCCTCCTTCACCATCTGTTGGAGCATCAACAATGATACATCAGGAAAAAACAACATACTCGTAAAATTTATTTGAAAATAACAAACATAGAGTATTTTATTTCTAGGTCATTGTTTCTAAGTCAAAGAGCCTTTTGCAAATGGACAATAAAAATGCAAAGATGATGAGGACTTACCAACAACATTCATCTAATTCTTTCCATCCCTATGGGATCCACTTCACAACTGTAAAGAGGATAATCAGAACTCCAAAAGAGGCAGGACTCAATCATGCCAATGAGATGATTAGGAAAGTTTATGCTTAATTTGCATGTACAATACATATTAAAATATCTTGAGTCATGCTGGCTCAGTGTGATAGACGCCACTGAATATTTGTGTATATGACTATAGCAAAATGTGGATTCTTCAAAAAATGACAATTATGGGATGATTTTTAAATTTTGTGTTTTAAGGAAAAAAATTTTAAAGGCAGAAAGAACTCATTTGGCCTACAATCACATACTAAGCACAAGATTCAGATTTGTGCTTACATTCACACACACCAGTCAGCAGCACAATAAAACAAATGCCAACATTCACATGTTCACCTGAGTATGGTTTCACTGGCATGTCATCCAATAAGAGGTGTAGGAGCCTCTGGGTATGTGACCGTTGACGATTCAGAGAAGTTATCCTCAGTTCTATTGAAGCAGTCTTCATCAGCCATGACATTTGGTTCAGCATAGATATTTCATATTCTGGAAATTAAATACATAAGTTTAGTCTTTCAGAATAATAAAACAAGATCAGAACATAACTCATCAGACACCTTCCCATGTAAAACTGTCAATAATTTATGAAACTTGGCAACATAATAATTTATCACTCTGTAAAATTAAAAAATAAAAAAACACAGATGTTAAGGGAGAAAAAATAAGCTAGTATATGTCTATGAAAGATGAGCAAAAGCAAACGAAGAACAAAAGAGAATCAAGTTTCTGTTGCAAGGATAATTTCACACAAATCTACTAAACTCTGAGTCTGTCTTATTTTGACATTAATACGGGAACTTAATACTTAAACCCCAAGCAATTCTCAAATATTTAACTTAAAAAAAAAACTATCATACAGTTTGATTTTTATTTCACAAAACAAATACATTTTTAAAAATTAAAATAAATTTAAATTGCATAATTTTATGATGTCTCAAGATAATCAAGGACAGGGGCCAGCCCCGTGGCTTAGCGGTTAAGTGCGCGTGCTCCGCTGCTGGCGGCCCGGGTTCGGATCCCGGGCGCACACAGAGGCACCGCTTCTCCGGCCATGCTGAGGCCGCGTCCCACATACAGCAACTAGAAGGATGTGCAACTATGACATACAACTATCTACTGGGGCTTTGGGGGGTAAAAAAAAAAAAAAAAAAAAAAAAAGATAATCAAGGACATTTGGTTTAACATATAATTAGGTTTGGGAATCACTTACACAATAGAAGTTTTTGAATTTAATATTATTTTAATATGCCTGGCTTTGGAGTCCTAAATTATGAGCATAAACATAAAATTCACCATATACTACTACTACAACTACTACCTAATAATAATAATAATGGGCAAAGCTAGATTGATTTTAAAAAAACAGATACTAGGCATGATATTAACTTTTCTTTCTAATTAGGTATAGAAGATGGTTTCTTAAAAAGCTTCTTACATAAACAAAATCTTAGGGCTAAAAATAAGATACACTTATTATGAAGTGAAAATTTTTTGTCATTAGATAATTACCAAAGGTCTCTCACACCATCACTCTAAAAAGTAAATTAGAAGCTGATAATTACTAGAAATGGAAATTTATTATGAAATCTGTGAGACTACATTTCTTAAAACACAGAGATGATACAAATAAACTTTAAAAAACTCAATAGACCAATACTGTCTGGATATAATACAAACTCAGAAAATTGTTAAAAACTGATCAAAAAGAAAATTATATAAAGTAGAATCCTATAAAACATAGGTACCTAGGGATAATTGTGTTGGTAAGGTCAATAAACTAAGTTATAAATAGTTTCCACCATAATTAGTTTTCTATTTTTCATTTCAAGACCTGAATTGGTTTCAATATATACACAAGAAAGAAAAGCAAAACAGACACTTTTATGAAACAATTTTCACTCAAAAAAATCTAAATTTCCAGAATCATCTTATATAAATATTTTCTTATCCCTTCAACATAATTTTTAAATTGTATGTGTTAGTAAAAGGATCAAATTCCACCCCTGACAGTCTATTTTTAAATAATTTTATGCTAGCAGCTAAAACATCATGTTTCTCAAGCACAAATTACAAAAGCAACCCTAAGTAACAAAGAAGCAAAATAACAAAATGAGAACAGAATTCCACAAATACTGTAACTGCTACCCCCAAATGTTGTATAAATAGCATTATTCAACATGGACTTTACAAATTCGTTATAATAATAAGGGAAAATAATGTCCTACCTTTGTTAGAAAATGGTAAATGCTGCAACTGAGAAAATAAGAAATCCTGGCTGGTTCTCAAGTATCTCATAGTAGGACCAGATGTATCAGAGCATGCACATAACTGATATATCACCTAAAGGATTACAATAAAATAAGAAAACCCCAAGTCAGTTTTTTTTAATTAAACATGTTAAGATAAAATGTGAACTTAAATCTACTAAGTGGAAACTAAGACCTAACAATAACTCAAGCAAAATGGATAAACACATGTATAAAACAGAAGCTCAGCGTTGTCAGTAAGTAGTCCTTGGCATCCTAATTCAAGAAAATGTATTGAAATATAATTGAAGAGTGCTGACCACATTATTATAGGACTAAACTTGAAATCACCTTCAGTATATTTATTAATATATATACATATAGTTAATTAACAAGTTTTAGTATTTTGACTATTATTAGTAGCAAATTACTTGAAGTGACTTCTGAAGACCAAGGTTACGTATTCATCAGTTGATGACAATGTGAGGAACAGAGGATCCCTTGCAGGAATCTAACCCTATGTTTTCCCCAGGAGCAACGGGTCAGCGTTCGCTATGACTTTATAAACCGAGTAACGACAACTGACTGTAAATCCATCTAGAAATACATTCTTAAGAAAAATATAAAACAACAAAAGGTAACTAAAGATACTCATTAAAGCAGAATAAAACACCGGTAACAACCTAAGTGTAATTTACATTGTAGTAGCATAAAAAGCTTATGGGGGGGTACAAAACTGTATGTCTACTGAATATAACTAAATAATATGTCTACATAAGGAAAAAGATAAGAAGGGAACACAGGGTTAAAACTTAAATAGTTCTGTTGTAGATATGTTTGTTTTTCAAACAGCTTTGATATTGTTTTTGATACTCTATAAATAAAAATTGAAGCTAATACTGAAATTCTCAAAACGAAAATTAGTTATTCATATTAGATGGCAAGTTAAGATACAAGAACAGATTCTCAAAGATGTGGGAGAGGCAATGCCGTTAGAGAGAGAAGGACACAAAAGTGTATCCCAAAAGCACAACAAGCCATGTTACAAGGATATGCCCAATATCCTTCCTAGTTCCCAAGGCCAGGTAGGAATTCTCCATCCTAAAAGAGAAGAGAGCAAAGGCACAAGGCTCAGTCTTGACCTCTTCACCCAAAGCCTTGTACTGCTGGATGAATAATGCTCAAATTATTTCTTTTTACTATAATCAGATTTATTTTTAAACTAAAAGCTCTTCTTACAAGTTTACATTATTTTCTGAAGCAGACTAAAGTATAAACCTATAGGTGAAGAAAGCATCTTTCGTAAAAAATGAAGCAGTCCTTCTTGTTAAAATGCAGATTCTGACTCAGCAGGTCTGGAGTGGGGCCTGAGGTTTTGCGCTAACAAGCTCCCAAGAGGCGATGCTGATGATACTGGTCTACATTTGGAGTAGCAACGTAACAGAGCATATGTAATAAAGGGGCAGACTGCTGGTATAGACATGTTTTGTTTCGCCAGTAAAATGTTTTAAAAATCAGAGGCTCTGGCAAACCAGGGCCTGCATTCCAACATGGTAAAAATTAGCAGGGGCTGAGTAGTAGGGCATGTGCTCTCCTGTCTGTCAGATTCTCCGCTCCCTCCCTCTCCCCATCTTTTTGTTTTAAATCTGGCTTCATTCACTTAATTCAGTGCCTAACTCTAGCCCAGATGATTAAGTTTATCAATTGCTTCTACCTAAGTATGTCAAATTCTGCAGTACTATACTAAAATGTTTGTTTCCCCATTAAGGAAGAATTAATTTTGATTCACAGGAAGACCTAGCTGTAATACTGTAAGTGAAGGGCTGTTTGGACAACCAGGGGACAGAAGAAAATAGTAAAGAATTACAAAAAGAAAAACAGGAGAGTAACAGAGAAAAATTTCCATGTCACTAGAAGTTAATGATGCATTTCCTATCATGAAAAGTGAAGCAGGGTGCCACTTAAATTGAGAAATCAATCGCATCCTATAAAGCCTAGTTCTTAAAATACTTATAAAATGATAAAACAAGCAATAAACACAGTAAAACAAAAGTTCTCATTATAGTGTAAACTTTACACTAATGTGACTTCCTACCACTTTACATATAGCTATAGGGCTGCATAATTCACATGATTCTTAAAAAGTGCTTTCACTTACATCCTTACATTATCATTTAAGTCTCATAACAGCCCACTTCACAGATTAAAAAACTCAGAGAAGTTTCACGGCATGCCCAAGGTGACTTAGCTGGTTAAGGGGCAGAAATGGGAACCAGAGGTCTTCTGACCCAAATCCACTACTCTCTCTACCAAAAAGAAACAACTTGAAACACAGCATCATTGGAAAGTTTCTAAATTATCTAGTCAAAATCCAATTTCCCTCATTTTTCAGGAGATCAACATATAGGATCTATAGATCTATCACATCTTGAGGTTTGTGCTTTATGATTTTTATCCATAAATGAAAGACTGGTCAAACTACTAAATGAACTCATTTCAACTCAGTCTTACTGTTATACTTTCATATCTGTGGTGTATTGAAGCCTTTAGTTAAGTTTCTTCTATTAAGTGCTACAGAGTGCAGCCTTCTCTATACCTGGTAACATAGCTCAGCGAGTTGAGGAGATTCTCTCACTGCCACCGGGCCTGTTCTCCCTTCAGTTCCTTTCTCCAGGATGTTTAAGATGGCATGAAGGCACGTCCGAGGGCAACCTAACACTCCTATGTGAAATCAAAAGGAAATTCAACTTTTCTTTTAAAATTTCTACATTAAAAACCTTAAAATACCTTTATAAAAAAGTTAAATTCCATAAATATATGCTCTACTGTAAACACTCTTTCAAATATTAATATAGAAAATTGATAAATACTAATTTTCTAAGGCTTAGTTTGTCCAGACTTGATCTAAGTCCTAAAGATTGACCCATCACATTACCTTTCGTATGTTATTTCTTTCTTTCAGTTAATTATCCCATGAGCCAAGAATTCAATAAATGACCATTTAGTTACATAAATATGAAAAGAAATAAATTCCCATGTGTCTTATGGCTATACCTGGATCTTGTAGGTTTGTGGTACTGACAGGTTTCTTCAATTCAAAGCCCAATAGGTAGAGAGCAAGATTGGGTGGATTGCGTTCCAGAGAGGTGATGAGAAGATTCAAGATATGGATTCTTGTTTCATGACGGATTCCAGCTAATTTCTTTTCAAGTTCTGATCCTTAATGTGGAAATCACAAAACAAAATTACAAAACAATACAAAGTTAACATAAGTCAAATTTAAAAATATAAAACTTGTATTCCAAACCTCCATGTTCTCTTTAGTTTCAGTTTACCTAATTAGCCATTACATTGACTTCAGATTTAAGGTGTTTCCCAAAAGTCTTACACAGTTACGCTCGCAAATTCTCAAATTTCTCTTACATCACCATTAGACAGTTAACAGTTCTCTTTATATTAAGCATTTACATACAGTAAAAAATATACATGTTAATCTAAGACATACCTTCTTCTAGACGTACAAATTCTTCTGTATCTTCACTATCCAAACACTCCACAAATCCAGCCATCAGCTTCTGACTTACACTCTGAAGTCATACAAAGATTTTAAAAATGACAAATTATAAAAAGTTTCTAAATATTAGAGAAACTGATAAATAAGATATATATTTATAAATATTTATCTGTAAAGAAAAAAGGCAAATCTGCTCCAAGTAAAGTATTTAGGTTTCAGTTAGATTTTCAATAGAAACTCAGTTCCTTAAACTGCCATTAAGTTAGCTCTCCGTAGAAATAATTAAATAAAAATTTTACAATTTATTGGTTTCGAAACTCATTTCCCTAATTTTCTTTCCCAAAGAATCAAATTAGTTTTTTAAAAAAATAACATGAAATTGCCATTTCATGACCTCTTCATTATATAATCAATGCTATGGGATCTTAACTAAAATAAAAAATAAAATTCTCATCTTCTCTCTTTAGAAATGTATTACTTATCACCAGTTTTATATTTCTGGACTGAGAGATTAGATACTACTCAATCTCCTTAAGAAATCCAGCAGGATGCTAAAATTGGTAATAGTAATTCATCCTCAAATGAATGCCAGTGAACTGAAAATCTTCACCTTCAACATCCCCTGATTATCATATGGTTTCACGAACCTCATCCAAAAACCAGATTAGACATCTGTATTTTACTATAAACAGTAGTTCTCAACCTGGGTGATACTGCCACTCCAGAGGGCACCTAGAAATATGTGGGGGTATTTTGAGTTGTCACAACTAGAGGTTACTACTGACAGATGGTGGTAGGGGACCAGGGATGCTAAGAGTCCTGCAACGTGAGGGACAGTTACACACAAAATGAAGTCCCACCCAAAATGCCAGGAGAGTTCCTGTTTCAAAACACTGTGAAGCAGTACACAACAAAATTCTTCAACTAGCTAAAGCAGTGATTTCCAACACAAAGATACAATGGGACAAATGTCTATAAACAGAAAAAAAAAATAGATTCTCCAATTGTAGCTATTCAATAAATAAAAAGAGACTACAAATTGAATTGAAAGAGGAACATCTAAAAACTCTACAGTGTCATATCAAGTAAAGTGACACAAATGTGGGCTACCAGAAAGCCACAGAAGTAGACAACTTACAACAATGAGACACATTCAGAATTGCAGAGGGTCACTCAGAACATAGGCAACTGACAGAGAGTGAAACAAAGGACACACAAAACAAACAGAAGTTGCACTTATAAACCTAATTACTTTTAATTTGCTAAGAGCAGCAACAGTCTCATTAGGCCATACAGTCACATACTATAGTATACACAGTATAATCACATCCTATCGTATATGTAGCATTACTGTGAACGGTATTATCTTCAAATACAAATCACAGCCCAGTATGTGGGTAGGTTTTCACCCATCACATAGAAATATACTTATTCTCAGAGAATTTTTCCACAAACAAGATAAGATTCCTCCACAGTCATTGTGACTTCTGTATGTACTCAGAATGCACCAAAAAACAACAACAACAAAATCAGTTACCTGGTCATGCGTGAAATCTCCAACCAACTTTATCTGAATATTGGAGTTGCAAGAGATACAGCAGAGGATCTTGGCACTTTCAAAAGCCAATTCCGGATTAGTATTGCCATGATAGAGGTATCTTTAAAACAAGAAAACATTTGAGAAACAATGTGATGAAACTTTCGGCTTCTCACTGTTCTCATTAAAGAACATTTAGAACCAGGGCTTCTCCTACCCATAAGCACTTTTGGATAAATTAGACAAAGGTTTCCCCTTCTAACTAGATACACCCTATTATGAGTTGAATCATGTTCCTCCAAAATTCATATGTTGATATCTGAACCCACAGTAACTTTATTTGGAAGTAAGGTCTTTGGAGATGTAGTCAAGTCAAGATGAAGTCATTAGGGAGGGCCCTCATCCAGTGACCGGAGTCCTTTGAAAAAGAGGAAATTTGGACACAGACACACACACACACAGGGAGAATGCCATGTGAAGCTGAAGAGATCAGGATGATGCTTCTACAAGTCATGGAACACCAAACATAGCTAGCAAACCACCAGAAGCTAGGATATATACAGTAAAAAGTTTGCTCCCCAGCCCTATCCTCCGTATCATCCAAACATCCAATTTCCCTACAGAAGACAAACAATATTATGTCATTTTATACTTAGAAATGTTTAGGACATAGAACAAATTAGGAAGAAGAAAAGAAACGGTAAGGTTCAGAGGAGCTAGAGAAGGCAAGAACAAAATGAGCTCCCCCCTCTCCCCCAAAAAAGTGGTGCATTAGGGATCTGACTAGATTTGGAAACCAAAGCTAGAATGCCCCTCTGATTCACTTCATCATTTTTCTACCTACAAATGTAACTTACCTGGCAATATTCACCACGTTATCTGCCTTCTTAGTTCTGGGATTGATTCCCTGCAGCAGCTGTTCTAAAGGAGAGACTATTAGAGCCAGCTGACTCTCTCTCAGAAGATCCATAAAGAGATTTTCCTTCTGCAGAGTAAGATTGAGAAGTGCAAGGCAATGCTGTACTGCTTTCTCCAAGTGTTTCTTCCCTATACACCAGAAATTGAAGTTAGAAAGTTCCACATGAATCTTAGAAACTCACAGTCAATTCTTAGGAAAGCAAGATAAAAGACAAGTTCTAGGTTCAAAAAGCCCTCAAGTTTTCAAACTCTCAGCAGCAACTTCACAAAACTGCTCAACCACGCAAGTCATGATTACTTTTACGCAATGGCTTCTCAATTATTTTTCCTGTATTTTTTCCCTCATTATTTAGAGCAATGGTTCTCAGATGGGGGTGATTTTGGCCCTAAAGGATATTTAGCAATGTCTAGAGACACTTTTGGTTGTCACAACTGGGGAAGTGCTACAGGCATCTTGTGGGTAGAGGCCTACAATGCACAGGACGGCCCCCACAACAAAGAGTTATTCGGCCCAAAATGTCAATGGTGTCTAGGCTGAGGAACTGATTTAGAGTAATACATACACATTGTGGAAAATCTGGAAAATAAAGAAGCCAAAAATATAAACAAGGATCACTTATAATCCCACCATTCAAATTTAAAATACATGGGTTCTGGAGCCTAACTGCTAGGTTCAAATCAAGCCCTGACACTTACTGGGGAAAGATATGAAAACTTTGTGCATCAATTTCCTTATTTATTAACTAGAAATAACAATATTTATCACATAGGGCTTTTGTACAGATTAAATGCATTAATACATATAATGTGCTTTTAAAGGAACCAAATGCATAGTAGGCACTCAATAAATGATAATAATTAGTAGTAATAATGATATTATATGAGATTTATTGAACACTAGGCACCAGGCTTTTACAAATAGTATATGGAAAACAAAACAAGAAGTACTTTAGATTTAAATGTAGGCATGTTAAAGTGAAAGAAAGATAATTATAATTATCTATAAAAGACCCTGCACTGAGAAAGTTAGAGCGAGAGTCTCTGTACTTCAGTATGTTTCACTTTTAATATACTTTCATTTTATGACTCATTGAAAATAGCACTGTAGACACAGAGAGAGGCTCTTACGGTGAGAAACAGCTTCAGAGATCATTTATTTCAAACCTTCAGTTTACAGAAGATGAAAATATCAAATCTGTTTTCAAGACATGAAGACATTCAGGCACATACCAGGGAAAGGGGCATAGGTATCAAGCTGCTTCACACCTTCTTCCAGTAAACTCAGAGCAAGCTCCAACATTGGTGACTCATTCAGAAGATGATACATCAGACTAAATCCTGGTGGCTTATAGGCTATGATTTCTTCTCCTAAATAGAACATAACATAGTCCAAGAGACAGTGAATTAGTATTTTTGTCACATCGTTGATTTATATGAAATGTATGAGACTTGAAAATTAAACAGAAGGCAAGTTTCAATTTAGAGACAATGATACAAACTGTATATACAGTGGTAATTCCCAAAAGGGCTGATCTGCTCATAGCAGTCAGTCACCTTATTACATGTTAACTCATTAAAGAATCTATAAGGCGGTGTCCTTTGTCTTTCACTCAGTAAAATTTTACTTTATTTTCTCTTGCTCAGAACAATTAAAATGACTAAAACAATATAACAGAAAAGATTAAATTCTAATTTATAAATTTAGAAATAATTTATATTTCACATATAATATATAATTTATAAATTATAAATAGCTTTATCAAGAGCTGACACCTTGTTTGAAAGTAATAGAATTAAATTACCTTGTAGTTCCACAAACTGGTCTACAAAATCTTCAAGTTGAGGCTCATAATCTCTGAGTAATTTATAAAACACCTCCAAAACAACCTCAGCAACTTCCCACTAGAGAAAGATACAAATATTTCAGTAACAATAAAATAGTACAAGGTGACAGCCTTGCTAGGCTTTTTATTCCTCCCACTTTTATCCAGAAAATGAGTGAGGTCTCTTGTCTAGTTTATTAATTTATGATAAGAAATCATATAGAAATAGAAATCCCAATTCATTTTGTTTTGTTTTGCTAAAGGATAACGTATTGGCTAATTTTTCAAGGTAAAATATTTATAAAAGCATTACTCTAAAACATTTCTACAGCAGATATTTGGGCTTCAGTAACAAATCTAAAGCACTTAGTATCTAGTCATATTCAATTTATAATTAAATAACACTAGATTTGGACACTTCTCCAAAGGGTCAAATATTTCATAATTATCTCTAAGAATCTCAGCTGGAAATGATCTGAGACCTCATCTCATCTAATCACCCTTATTTCACAGGTGAAGCAAGTGAAGCTCAGAGCAGTGAATGATTCCCCAAGACTGTTAAGCTTGGCAGCAAATGTGCTAGAAGTCAAGCACTGGTCTTCTAATTCCCAGAACAGTCTTCTATCCCATGGCTCTAGCCAAAGAAGTTAAGAAGACAATCACTGGCAGGCTTGCCCCAGATGACCCCATTATCACTTCTTTGTTAAAAATATTTTTAAAAGCTATGTAACAACAGGGAAAAATATTTATGCCAAAGGAAATATATACAAATGTACAGAGAGTGAAATTAAAACTTTGCTTAAAAAATCCATTGCACAGGATTTTAATAAGGCTGAGTTTGGTAACTGTAGACAGGGTGGTTTTTAAAGTTATTTTAAAATCATCATTTACACTGCACATAATTTTATGAAGGCTGACTTTGGGAATTGGGATTATACAGTGATTTTTCAATTATGAACTTTTTTATATTTTCCAAAATTTTCAAGATCATTTAAATAAAAAAGGCTGCTCACTACAAAATATTGGATTTTAGGGTTGATAAATATACACACTGCCTCTAACCCTTGTTATTTATCTCAATGCAAAGCACTGTTTTTGTGAAAAGCTAGTGCTCCAAAATATAGTGATATAAGTTAAACCTGAAGACTTTCAAGTGAAATAAATTTACAAAATTGAGGGAGAATTTCTTAGAGTAAATATGTCAGGGTGGAACTGAAATCACTGGTAGCCAGGGAAAGCAGCAGCACTTGAAATATAGATATGCATGGGTGAAAAATAATAACACCGGGAAAGAACATGATGACTGAACCTCTAAACACTTAGGTCATAATGACCTTTTTAAGAAAAGATAAATAAGATATTTAAAACAAATGCAAAAGAGTATCAGAACATTTTGAAGAGGTTGCAATTATCAGCATCCATTATTCATCTGAAATGACTTATTAACAAGGCATGATTGCTGTTATTGTTTTCACCCAATAAGGAGATATATGTTAATGAGGCTTAAATAAAATAAAATAAAATGTATACCCCCTCAGTGTTTATTTTTACTACACGAGAAGCAAAAATTATAAAGCAATTGACAAAAAATGAACTTTAGTTATTTGGGACTATATATTAGAAATGAACTATGTCCAATGATAGGGCAATGAATAAATAAACTATGTTAGATGCAAGTAATGATTATGTAGTCATTAAAAAGATTGTTTTCAAAGAATCTTTAATAGCTTGAAAAAAAATCTTCATGATACTATGTTTAGTGGCCAAAAAGGGATACAAATTAATGTAACTAATTATCTCAATTTAAGTATATATCCATAGGAAAAAGACTAGAAATAGTTATCCTTCCTTTGGCAACAGGATTATGAGTGATATAATGTCTTCTTATATTTTTCTATATTTTCCTAATTGTCCCAAATTAGCACAAACTAAATTATTTTTATAATCACTAATACAACAAATAAACCCAACAGGTTCAAAAACAGTAAACTATAAAAATAGAGAAATGTCTCTACAAGATACATCTAAGGGTATTCTGTGAGGCAATAAACAGTATTATAGACTAAAGTGAATTACATCAGAACCTGGAAGGGTCTCTTACATAGCTTAGTGGTTATGAGCTTGGATCTGGAATCAGAGTCCTAGGTTCAAATCCTGGTCCTGGACCTTAGGCAAGTTCCTTAACCTTGCTAAGCCTCCATCTGTAAAACGGGAATATTAATAGTACCTGCCTCACGGTAATATTGGAATTACATAAGATGATATATACGATAAGCTCAGTTGTGAGTGTGTTGCAACCAGAGCAAATATGTACACAAATGTCAGTGCTCCCTCAGCCTCTACCCATGGCATCCATACCTAATAGACCATAGTATGCTTTCCCACTCAGGCAAGACTCCACAACCCAGAAGTGCTCTAATCAACAGAAACTGGTGTGCAAGTTTAAATTTATTTCGATCCCTAACCTAAATCATCCCAATAAAGGATAGTGTTTCCAACTGACAAAGGTGTAACATTTTTGGTTCAATTTTGGTCAAAATTTGTTCAATTAAGGATCTGAATGACTATGAATTCATATCAATTAAATTACTGATCACTAAAAAAGTCAGTGCTTTCGTTTTAATGCCCACATTTGTGTTTTTAATACATATTAACTAATCAGACCATGGACATTTCAGTATTAAGACTATGAATTTTACTAGCTTTCAAAAGCTAAAATGAATTTATAGCATCTTATACTTTTGATGAAAGAAAAAGCAGCAATAAACGAATAAGGAGAAAAAAGTTTTTCTCTGAACACAACCTTTTCAGCTGCTCTCCGGTAAGCTCTTGTGCGGAATCGGAGAAACACAGAATCTCTAAGGAATTGCAAATAAGGGTCAAAGCCAGGGGGGCGGAGTCCAGCGCCCAAATTAGAAGGAAATGAACTCTCCACCAGGGTACTAATAAGCTGGCAAAAGGCCCGAGTCAATGGGTATTCTTCACACCGGGATTCTATTTCATTTAGTTCAACCTTTCAAAGAAAAATAAAGAAAATTTAGTAATATAAAACTATCAGCTATAAAGTGCAAAGTATTTTGCAGACATTAACTCATTAATATTACTAATGACATCACACCAAAAGACACTTAACAGATATTACCATTTTTCATTTAGAGGAAAAGACACAAAAGTATTATATGAATCTAGATCAATCAGATGGAAGAATTTCAAATTCCCACATATTGTTCCCAACTTGGAATTAAAAGTAGAAATCTTAAATGGTTCTTTACAAAAGAGAGAGGGAGCAGAGAGAGAGAAGAAACTAAAACAAGTAAATTCATACTTCATTTGACCCAAATAACCTAATTAAATTGAGTTCAAACCAAACTTTCAGTTTGGATGGCTGCCACATATCCTTTTCCAACTCTGAAACCTAAAGTATTTTGGTTCTTTTCATAAAAAGTTTCATTTCCATTTCAACACTGACCAGAAAACCCTTCAAATGAAAATATGTTAAATTTGAAAATTACAGGAACTTAATAGGGTAAGAATAATTTTTCTTAGTCTTTTTATCATGTGAATGTATGACTATAGCATTTAAACTAAAAGGAAAACTTTACCTCAATACCAATAGCTTGCCTCTGGCTTGGAACCCTTACGGTCTGCAGTATCTTAAAATAATAAGAATTAGATGTTAGGAGCATTCCTCATTCATCAATGAAAAGTAGTGGCTTTGCAATATAATAGTCATGTACCTCACACACCACATCCATACATCTTATAACGTCGATCAGAAATGACAAGTGAGAAGTCTTTGATGGACTTTCATTAGCAATTGTGTCAGGTTCAGGCAGAACTTCTAATTATCCGGGCTTCAGAAAACAGGTAATTTTTAAGCGTACACAGGATGTGTTTTCAGCAAATTTCCTCTCAGATATGCTAGAAATGAATCTTACAAGGATTTATGGGATGAAATCTCACCAGCGTTCAAGGCACTGGTCTTTTTACAACCAGCCCTACTGTTGGCACCAGAAAACCAAGAAGTAAATTTGTTAAGAACAGGTTTCTTATGTGGCCAGAAGTTCTGAGTGAAGATGTTCTGTCCTGACCTTGGGAGGGGCATAAGTAGTCTGCGGCATAATTAATTATACTTAATGTCATATTACTTAACTCTCTTGCAAGTTAAGAATGTACCATACTAATATACTACAGATGACTTTTTTTTTTTTTTTTTTTAAAGATTTATTTATTTATTTTCCCCCCAAAGCCCCAGTAGACAGCCGTATGTCACAGTTGCACAGCCCTCCAGTCGCCGTATGTGGGACGTGACCACAGCATGGCCGGAGAAGCGGTGCGTCGGTGCGCGCCCGGGATCCGAACCCGGGCCGCCAGCATCAGCGAGCACGCGCTTAACCACTAAGCCACGGGGCCGGCCCCCAGATGACTTCTGAAGGCTTATATCAGCCTGTTCTCAAAGAGAGAGTTGAGGAATTCTGCCCATTTATTAATATCTTATAGACACTGGAAAACAAAGTCTTAAGAGAAGAACCAATCTCCAGTAACTAATGAAGCTGTCAACTGATCCAAGAGAAAAACCCAAGCCTATTAGTTTCTGATGCTATGCTCAGTACCAACACCTTAACTTCCTAAGTGGGAAGTTCATGGTCTACTATAAGTTTCAAATGGGATGCTCTTGCTTCTATTATCAAGTCTCACTTTCCAAACTGTAATAATACCCATAAGAGAGCTCATAATACTACCTGAGTATATTCCAACGACTGCCAGAGGGAAGCAGCAATTTCAGGAGATTTTCCAAAAGCTGCAAGTGTCTTCAGTAGTTCGGCTTTTAGAACAGGGGGAATACTGCATTGCAGGAGTCCCAGAATCACCACAACAGGGGTCCACTGAGGATGTTCACAGAGTGCCAGGCGAGCATTTTCACTCTGAGAATTGAACACAAAAAGGACAAGAGAGACTTTCGTTTTTAAAAGCTAAGAAAAATGACCAACAATCATCTCAATTGCTAGCACTTATCCTGAGTATTCACAGACTTAATACATACTAAAACAAAGATAAGCCTATGGCTTACACTTGAATTCCACCAGTGGATCAAATCAGCTCACTAGCTCAGTCAATGTAAAGAAAGGAGGAGAAACAGCCTTTGTAGAATTACTTTTACAGCTCTAAGCATGGAAAATAATACATACAAACAGAGATAAATGGTCTGCCACATAAATCTTACCTAGGCACTTTACATCCTTTCTGCAACAATATAATATATTTTACTATAATATAATATATGAATGAATACTTTGTCCTTTTCTGAGAAAAAAATGAAGAGATATATACATACACATATGGTACCAAGTATTACTCCATTTTAATTCAATGAGAAATAATTACTAACTTTATGTTTTGATGTATAATAATGTTAAGCATTATTGGAGAAACCAAAAAGTCCTTCAGGGAGAATGTCAGACTGAGCAACTTATCTTTGCTCCAGTGAACAAGAGAAACAACTAGAAAAGATTTCTGAGCAAGGAAATTATTTAAGGAAAATAATGTTTTTCACAAAGACTAATTCGGTAGTGGCGCGTAAAATGTTTGGCGTAAGAAGAGAAAAAAAGTAATTCAGTAGATAATTTTTATTTTTAATTAAAATATTCTTTATGTATACAACACACACACACATATATCCACACCTATCCTAGGAAATCTTGGACATCCAACAACTGATTCTTATTTGCCCTTCTGACTATGTTCTTTCAAGCTTAGGCTACTATTTCCACACAAGCTTATGGCACTGAGCAGGGGCTACCATAATTATACCCTCTAAAGGTGAAGAAACAAAGAGTTTAAGAACAGAATGCTATATATATGCCAAATTTATCACTCATAGACTTTAAGCATTACAAGAAAACTTGGGGGCTCCTTAAAATGCCACTGTGCTGGAATACAAATAAAATTATACTCTCTCATGCTGTGGATGAGTTACCTACCCAAGTAATGATGGTAGATGTGAGCTGTAAAAAAGCAATCAATCCATCTTGCTCCTTCTGGGTGATGCCACGCGAAGGAAGGTGACGGTACTGGACACTATCCGCACTCGGAAGATCCTTCCGGAGGTGTTCATGGTAAAGCATTAAGGAGTGAAAGAAATGTTCCCAGGAAACAGGACTGCCGCCTGCTCCCTGAATATTTTCAACTGTAAAGAAACACAGCACAGAATTTTCTTTCAAAAATGTCTAAGCAGTTGCTTGGAAATGGAGGGAGAAAATAAATTTAAAACAATAAACTTTGTTTGCCTTTGTCCTAGATGAGCAGTGTGTTGAAAATGGATTAATTTTTCCCTAGGGCTAAGAATGGGTGGTGCCTATGTAAGTGCAAAGGTAAATTACTTTGAATATCAGTTACCTACTTCACATCCAGGAGAGTTCTCTGTGTTGTCATGTAACTATACAGCGCTGCTTTTCCTGCTGAATTATTCCAAATGTTGAGCTTAAATTCCCAAAGAGACAGAACTACAGTCTAGATTTGTAAATTACACTACTCCATTACATACCAAGCACTGGGAGCAAAACCATAGCATACAAGACAAGCAAGCCCTGATAGAGTAGTTAAAACACTGGCCTAGGAGCCATCTCAGTTCCAACCATGGCTCCCCAGTTACTTGTGACCGTGGGTAAATTACTTAACTTCTCTAAACCTGTTTCCCCACTCCCCATTTTTACAGTTTCACGTAAAAATGAAAGTAATAATATCTACCTAACAAAGCAGATGTGTAATAAATATTTCTTTCTCTTCCTTTTTGCAGTATTTTTGCTTTAATTAGATTGAAGTCTGAAAATTAAATGAGACTAGGAGAGGGTCCAGAGAAAAACTAAAGAACAGAAATTTAGAAAACAAGTACATCTGAAGATAAAGAAATAAAACTTATGTGGCAAGGGTATATATATTTTGCTTGAAGCACCAGATGTGTTCCTGAAAATTTATATATATTAATTCTGATTTCTTTAACTGTATTTTATAAAGCAGATAGTAAAATTCCCCAGCCTGTGAGACCATAATCAAGACATCACTATACATAAAGCCACCAGTGTGCTTCTTTCCCTGTTATGGAAATAAATTATGCCCCTGGTAGAATCTAGCACACATAACCGATATTCTTTAATAGGAGGATAGTGAACGTAAGAATGTCACAACAAATTTAGACAACATCCAGATTTTTCTTACCATGACTACTACCATTGACTTTGAGCAGGCTAAAACAGTAGTGGGCACACTGGGGCCCATTGGCCAATCCCTGGAGCATTTTCAAATAAGGGATATAAATAGTCGGAGGCAACAGGTCACCCATTTGCCTAACAAACTTGGACAAGACAACCTGAAACAGAGAAAAACCAATAGTTTACATAAAGCATATCGTAACTTGAAACGAACATGGACTAACTAATAAAGACTACATATGAACTAAAACTAATTAAGTGCTCTAATTTAACTCCCCCCAAAGACAAAATAATCTGGTATTCTATGTATAAAAAATTGCATTTTCAAGCCTGTCATTAGCAACTTAATGCAATTATAGAATAATATCTTTGTGAACAAAAAGTACATTTTTTTCAAAACATCTCAGTGTCACAGAACATAAGACTACTCACATTCTAACTATGTAAAACAACTGAAGAAATATACTTGTCTAAAATTAACCAGCAAATTCAAAGATATACTTAGAACGCAGAGTTCCTAAATCCCAGTCAAATTTAGTATGAAGAACCAGAAGAAACTTGAAAGAATTTTTTTTGTGTGTGTGTGAGGAAGATCAGCCCTGAGCTAACATCCATGCCAATCCTCCTCTTTTTGCTGAGGAAGACTGGCCCTGAGCTAACATCTGTGCCGATCTTCCTCCACTTTACGTGGGACGCCGCCACAGCATGGCCTGACAAGCGGTACGTCGGTGCACGCCCGGGATGTGAACCCGGGCCGCCAGCAGCAGACCACACGCACTTAACCGCTATGCTAGGGGGCTGGCCCCTTGAAAGAATTTTTGATGGTAACCTATTCTGTTTTGTGTTCTTGCCAATACCATCGTTCTGTAGGTCTATTTCTTAGTTCTTCCTTTTCTCTTACTTATGCCTTGAATCTATTATCAACAACTAAAAATATTATTCAGACTAATTAGTTAGAACTCAGAACTGAAAATGTAACATCTCTGGGAATTCTTGTTAAATCTATTAAGCATAACAATAGTTTTGTGATTATATAGAAAAATATCCTTATTTTTAAGAGATATTAACTTAACCAATGAGAGAGAAAATGTCATGCTCTCTATAATTTACTTTAAAATGCCTCAGCAAAATAAAAGTAGTAGAAATAACAGTAGTAGAAGAAGCAAACATGGCAAGATGTTAAAAGCTGTTAAATTAAGATGTTGGTTGATCATTATAACTATTCTCTCTTCCATATGTTTGAAAATTTTCATAATAAGAGTGGTTTTTTTATTCTTTAAAAATTTTCAATATATCTTTCTCCAAAACATTTTTTTAAATGGGGGACTCAAGTGTAAGAAATACACTAAAAAAAAAAAAGTGTCTAATCTTAGACACTAGCATAAGAGAAAATTATACAGCATGAAAGCTTCTAGAACAGAAAATCCCACAAAGATGAAGACAGATATGGTAATCCATCTTATTTGCTACTAAATACTATCATTCAGTCAACACAGGATAGAAAATGGACTTTTACCCACATTATCTACAGACTCATAGGCATTTTTTCATCAATTAGAACGCCTAAGACTTTTCCTTTATTTCTTGTACCTCTTCTATCTCCCCCAACTTGCCAAGAATAATGTATAGTAGTTATTGACATGCCTGTAGAGAACAGACTAACGCTAATAAATACTAATAAAATTCAAATAAGTGACTCAGAAGGAGAGTAGACACTTTTCTGTCTCTAATGATTCAACATATAACTAGTTATCTAATAGAAGGCTAACTACACAAACTCCAAAATGATCAGAACTTAAAATGAAGAGTTTCAAATTTCCTTAAACAAAAGGGAAAAGTATAAATATCTAAAAGTCACACTAGTGTTTATTTGTGTTAACAGAAATAACATCACGAAATAACATTTTTCACGTTTTCAAGACTCCCAATTACCATCCCAGAGTATAAAAGTAGAAAAACTAAGAGCTCACCTGGCGCTGAGGGGGTCGCTGATGAGCCACCCCAAGGTAAGAACCCAGGATAGTGGAAGTCTGAAGAGGCTCTGAGGGACACCAATATTCTAGAGCAAGCTCCAAATTAAAAGGGTTCTTTTTATAGAGCTCACCAATCTGCAAAGAGCAAATAAAGACTGCAAAAACGCTTATAACTCAAAAATTACTTTTAAATAAAAATTTACATTTTTATTGAATTCACTTGTATATTTAAGATATTAGACAAGAAATTTTCCAAAGTTAGGCAAAAAATAATGAAAGGAGGGAGACGACAATCCATCCAATAGAACGGCTTACCAAGAGCATTAAGTGTTCCAGATCCTTTCTAAGTGAAATGGGGGGTTCATTACCCATCTGCATACTCATGTGAATCATTCGAGCATCTTCATCTGCCCGATTCCTCAACTGCTTCACCTATTAAATTTATTACATATAGTTTAATATGTAAATTTATTATATGTGTTAATAATAAGGAAATCAGGTAACTGTCTAAAAGTGATCATATAAAAGAAAAACATTGTTTAAGTATCTATTCCACTTTAATGATGTGAAGAAATATGCTAGGAATTTTACTGCAATATTATTATCCATAATTTACAATATCTTAAAATTTCAATGTATTTTCCACTATAGATAAGTTGAGTTTAACTATAGTATTTCTCAATTACTGACATTTTGGGCAGGACATTTCTTCACTGGGTTGGAAAATCCTGAACACTGCAGGACGTTTAGCAACCCTAGAACTACCAACTAACTACCAATAACACCACTACAGTCAATGTAACAAGCAAAACTGGCCCCACTCATTTCCCAAACACAACCTGAAGGACATTATAGCCCTGGTTAAGAACCATGGCTTACAATATTTGTGTCAACTAAATGCCAACTGGCATAAGAAACTACTCCTCCCTTAAAAAAAAAAACAAAAAACTAGACAAATCCACAATTACAGTTGGAGATTTCAACACTCCTCTCCCAAAATACAATAGAACAAGTATACAGAAAATCAGTAAGGATATGGTAGACTTGAACAACACCATCAACCGACTCTCCCTAATTGACATTTTAGACCATTCCATAGAACAGCAGACAGCAGAATATACATTCCTTTCACATACACATAGAACATTTACCAAAATAGGCCACATTCTTGCTTATTAAACAAACCTTTACAAATTTAACATAACTGAAATCCTACAAAATATGTTCTCTGACCACAACAGAAATAAACTAGGAATCCGTTAGAGATATATGGAAGTCCCCCAAATATTTAGAAATTAAACAACACACTTCTGAAGCCAGCCCCATACCATAGTGTTTAAGTTCGGCACACTCCACTTTGGCAGCCCAGGTTCACAGGTTCAGATCCCAGGCATGGACCTACACCACTCATCAGCCATGCTGTGGTGGTCACCCACATATAAAATAGAGGAAGACTGGCACAGATGTTAGCTCAGGGCTAATCTTCCTCAAGCAAAAAAAGAGGAAGATTGGCAACAGATGTTAGCTTGGGGTGAATCTTCCTCAGCAAAAAAAGATAATAATAAAAAATAAACAATACACTTCTAAATAACCCATTGATCAAAGAAGTCTCAAGGAAAATTAGAAAATATATTAAATTAAATAAAAAAGAAAACAGCATATCAAAATTTGTGTGACCCAGCTAAAGCAGTAACTAGAGACAAATTTATAATATTAAATGCTTATATTAAAAAAAAAAGGTTTCAAATCAAAATCTAAGCTTCCATCTTAAAGAACTAAAATGATAAGGGTAAATTAAACCCAAGCAAAAGGAAGAAAATAATAAAGGGAAGAAATCAATAACAGTGAAAGAAAATATAAGAAAATCAATTAAATCAAAAGCCGTTAATTGGAAAGATCAGTAAGACTGATAAACCTCTAGCCAGGTTAATTAAGAAACAAAGAGAGAAGACACAAATTACCAACATTAGGAAAGAAACATCACTACAGATCCTATAGACATAAAAAGTATAAACAGGAATATTACAAATAATTTTATGCCAATCAACTTGATAATCTGAACAAAATGGACAAATTCACTGACAGACACAAAGTACCAAAGCTCATTCAAGAAGAAATAGATAGGGGTGGGCCTGGTGGCACAAGTGGTTAAGTGCGCGTGCTCCACTGTGGCGGCCCGGGGTTCGCCGGTTCAGATCCTCGGCGGATCCTGGGCGCGCACTGATGCACCGCTTGTCAGGCCATGCTGTGGCGGCATCCCATATAAAGGGAAGGAAGATGCGCATGGATGTTAGCCCAGGGCCAGTCTTCCTCAGCAAAAGGAGGAGGATTGGCAGATGTTAGCTCAGGGCCGATCTTCCTCACCAAAAAAAAAGAAGAAGAAATAGATAAGCTAAATAGTACTATATCTATTAACGAAACTCTAGGATCCTAGAACCATGGGAATAAATTCACTGTTTACCCTAGCTAAGCCATTTATGATTTTGTCTATTCGAATTTCTCTCAGCCTTCATCTTTCCAGATGACCATTATCTTTCCATAATCAAAGTCCCAAAGACTAATAATTAGGAAAAACTTAAAGCCTTAACCTTTCTAAAACTTCATTTCCACAAATGTAAAATGAAAGGATTTCTTCCTATTCCAAAATTCGGTGATGTTAATCTATCAAGTCCTTCAAGGTTGATGAGGACACAAGTTATCTGTTAAATACTGCTTGACTATTTCAGTCCTGAGTGAGCTATCCTTAGCCTAAAGAAATCCATTGTAATTTACTGTCTATATCTCTCATTTACTTACTGTTATTACCTATATTTTTCTGTGTATATCTTATTTCTCTAACTAGATTATACATTCCTTGCTGGCAGGGAATGAGTCTCCTACTTATTTACCTTCTTTACAACTTCTAGCATAGTACCTGGAACACAGGAAACACTCAATAACACGATTCATTATATAATGAATAAGCATTTAACACCTTGATTGTTGCCATTCTGGGTACTTTTTCCATTTGCCTTATGTTTTTCAAGAGGTATGGTATCAGAACTGGACAACTGTATTACAAGTGTAGACCCTTCAGGGTGCTCTTTTTATACATACTCAAAAAAAGGTGGTTTTATAGGGCTTTACTCCCTCATTTACTTCCTGCTACCACTTTGATGGCTTCCTTGGCTCAAAATGTCACACAGAACATACACTATGTAGGAACCATCTGAAATGGTTCCAAGAACGCTTTTTTGGACCAAAGTTATAGCTCGAGACCACAATTCAAAAGTAACCACACTAGGGGTGGGCAGGTTCCCCCTGCCAGCTGGGTTATAAAACAAATAGTTTTTTATAGTTGCAATAGTTTCTTATACCCATTACTTTACCTGTATCCATGTAGAAGCCCATTTATGCACTATAATTAAGAGTCTAGGGCCGGCCCCATGGCTTAGCGGTTAAGTGCGCGTGCTCCGCTGCTGGCGGCCCGGGTTTGGATCCCAGGCGCGCACCAACGCACCGCTTCTCTGGCCATGCTGAGGCCGCGTCCCATATACAGCAACTAGAAGGATGTGCAGCTATGACATACAACTATCTACTGGGGCTTTGGGGGAAAAAAATAAATAAATCAAAAAAAAAAATTATGAAAAAAAAAAAGAGTCTAAACAATTATCTATAAAACTGGAGGTTTTCCACTATATATCTTCCAAATCATGTATAGAAGTATTAAATACGGCAACCTCAGCATTGATCCCTAGGATAGCACAGGGTTAATAATTTTCTACCCATAAAAGTATTTTCATTTGCCTATTTCTTTCTCATTAGAAACCACTTCAATGTCAAATATTTCTTCCTTTTACTGGTTTATTCTCAGTTCATGGGTCTTATTTCACTTTCATGAATCACAAATTAACAAGCTGTAACACAACAACTACTGTCAAATTTTAGTCTATAACAAAGATTTTATTAGTTGCAAAACAATGTTAGTTAATTGATCAGTTTTAAATTATTTTATAAAATTCTTCTACTACTTTTTACCCTCATCCTACATTATTTTACTTACCTTCATTGGCATAAGTGCAAGGAAATCTGTGATGAGATTATGGATTCTACGAATATAAAATTCCTCTTGATAGAAGTTTTCTGATACCACTACAGATTCAGTGAGGAACAGGAAAACATTGTCAGCAATTGCAAGCTCTGCCATTGCTTCATCTGCTTCTGTGAATTCAGCCAGGGCTAAAAATATATTTAGAAAAACAGCACATGAAGGAAAAGTTATTAAACTAGATTATAGTATCTCATAATACTCTGCTGATGGTTCAAAATTCAGATCTCTTCTCAACCCTCTAGCATGTGTTATGCACAAAATAAGACTGTGTGTAACTATAACTGACTCACAAACCCCAAATAATTACTGAAAAAGTACATTACAAAACCACATGCTCTTCAAAATAACATCATGAGTGATAAAAAAAATTATTTTAGAGACGTATGATATAACACTGATGTACTCAGGGAGCTACTATCAAAATATTAAAATGATGCTATGGCTTTAATCTCAATGAAATGAACTGGATCATTCAGAAAAACTCTTCACAGCCAAAGTGAAGACCAAAACCATAGCCACTTAAGTTTCTCTACTGATTCGGTAAAAAAGTAGCAAAAATTGAAAAACTAAATCTTAACCTAAAGACACACTGGTCTACTTATAATGTTTTTAGCTTTATATTTGGAAAATTTCAAACAGATATCTAAAAATAGATAAAACTAGTAAAACAAACCTCCACATATCCATCACCTAGCTCCAATATTATCCATTTTTGGTCAATCTTATTTCATCTAGAACTCAATGCACTCCCCCTGTCCATCTAAGCTAGATTGAAGCTAATTCCAGACCATTTAACATTTAACATTTCACACATAAGTATTTCAGTATATAACTCAAGAAGATACTTAAAAAAAAAGAATAAGCCACATACACACACAATACCAGTATTGTATCTTAAAAAACAATTGCTCAATATCAAATATCCATAGTGGTCAAATTTACAATTGTCTCATAAATATTATGAAATATTTTGGTCTTGTCTTTTGCTTTTTATCTTTTGTGCGATTTGTTTGCTGGAATCAGTATCCAAATAAGGTCTACATATTGGACTTAACTGATACATCTGCAGGCTCCTCCTACATCTTTTTTATTTTTCCCTTGTCCTTTATTTGCTGAAAAACTTGGACTTTTATCTTATAGTTTTCCACAATGTGGTTTGGCATTGCATCCCAGTGCTAGAGTTAACATATTCCTCTGTCCTCTGAATATACTAAAAATTGATAGTCTGATCTAAAGACGCTTGATCAATTACATTCAATTTTTTGGGTAAAAAGTATGTCATAGGTGATGCTGTGTTGTTCCATCAAAAAATACATTGCTGATTACTTCTTTTAAATTTTAAATAAAAAACTGCTAGGTAATTTTGTGGTAATCCGGCTTTAGAAAAGAACTGTTACATAGTTCATTCTGCTTGACTGTCATAGAGACCAAATACACAGTGTGCTACTAAAAGTACATTTTCATTCCCTTGAAAGTCAAGACTAGATATATGCCAGGATAGTCTCAACTAAAGGAAAACAGATGGGTTGGGGTGTTTTTTTGGTTTACGTTTTGTTTTGTATTTTGAAATAAAGCCTGTATATCTACCCATACTATACAAACTCCTTGAGAACAAAATAGTTTCTCAATTCTTTATTATGACTAATGATTATTAAAATTACTAATTAATTAATATTAATTAAATAGTAAAAACAATAATGATTAATTCCAAACCTTCATTTGAATTCAGAAATATTGGAATTAAAATTACATGATGATCAATTTGAGAATTATTTCTTGAAGACTATTTACTTACGTAATAAAGCAGTATTACTATCTTAATGTAAATTGAGTTTTAATTTCTAAAACAGTATATTAAAATTTTAAAAAGTTTAGTTAAAACTTAAAAACATATATTTTATAAAATAATGTAATAAAAATATTTGATAAATTTTTCAGAAGTCTATGAAGACAGCAGGAACTAATATTTCAAAATTGAGATCTCTGATAAAACTTATCTGGATTATTTTAAGAAATGACCATTTCCACAATATAAGATAAGCTATTCATCTTTTCTACCAATTTTTAAAATATAAATTAATAGAAAAATTTTTATAGTTTAAAAATGTTCATTATAATACCCCTAATTATCAAAGCTTATAAAGGGGTATAAGCATGTAAAACTAAAGAGATTAAGTAGTGAAACATCTAGGACTTGAAACAGGATCTGGATTCCTAGACTATTCTTATCTACCATTCTGCAGCAAACTATAACATATTCTATTGTGCCTCTTGAGATTAGGGCAATGGTACAGTAAACTACAATATATGAATTTGATTAACTGTCACAGACACTTAAAAGTTTAAAGGGTAATTTTATGCCAGAAAAGTACTGAAATAAGGCTTGTAAATGAATAAGGGATATGATTGAGAAACAGAACTTGTACATGAATGTAAATGTCTAATTCACCAACTATCAGCTTTAATATAGAAAATGCTTGGCCAAGGAGAGACTCCTAACACACAAAAAAGCTTTCTACAGCTCCCTTGGGAACAGCATGACACTACTGAACAAAATGTTCTGAAATCATACAATTGATAAGATACTGGAATCTGTTGACACTCTAAGACTAGAAAACATTGACATGAAGTGTAAAGTTTAATAAAACTTTTCCAGATTTACCATAAAAACCTACAGAAGTGACATTTCTTTGGGTTTCAAATTACAAGGAAAGCATAGTTCTCATCCTGTTAGAGTAAACCACTATTAGTATGATAAATACATGAATGTAAACAGCAGAATAGGATATGCTATAGTGGGTAACAGATTGTTAAAAGCCAGAATTCCACATCTTAAAAGCCAGAATTCCACATCTGTTCTTGATTGACCCAAATATCTCCTTTCTAATATACTGTATTTAAAAATAATACTAGTTTTTAATTTGACATAATGTGAAAAATTAGTTTGTCTGTAAACGAAATGAAGAAAAATGTAAAAAAAATGAAATATTAAATTTTAATTTAAAAAATATTTTGGTGGGGCCGGCCCCGTGGCTTAGTGGTTAAGTGCGGGCACTCCGCTGCTGACGGCCCGGGTTCGGATCCCGGGCGCGCACCGACACACCGCTTCTCCGGCCATGCTGAGGCCGCGTCCCACATACAGCAACTAGAATGGATGTGCAGCTATGACATACAACTATCTACTGGGGCTTTGGGGGGGAAAAATAAATAATAAAATCTTTAAAAAAAAAATAAAAAATAAAAAATATTTTGGTACTCTCATTTCAAATATTAAACTCTAAAGGAAAAAAAGGAACTCAAAGAGAATTGTCACTGCTTCCAAGAAAGGGAAAAAATACTTCATATAATTTCTTTTGGGAGATAGGAAAAAAAAAGGTCTGTATTTCACCACAATACAAAGTTTCATTTAATGCAATTCTAGATGTCTTCCTATGCTCGTGCTTATACATGTCAAAGATAACACGCTTTCCAAAACACCATTAAACGTTGATATGTTGTTTCTCATAGTAAAATTACCTACAATCAATTTACCTGTCACATCAGGTAGCTGAGATATTCCCCTCAAAGCCAGTGCCCAGGCAAGTCTAACAGCGGCTTGCAGCCCAGGCAGTTTCCAAGGCTGTGAGTCTTGAAGGCGAGAGTGAATTGTTGCAATGTACTGTCTCTCTGTCAACAGTGGAAGCTGATGAATCATATCTGAAAATGAAAATAGACCACTATACCAAAAAGTAGAAAAATTCTCACTTTTGATATACAGGAATAATGTCCAAAAATCATAAAATCAGAGTATTCCTATCAAAGAATTATGACCAATTAACATTAATGTTTGACATACCAAAAAGTAACTACTTTACAGTACACTACAGTAAAAACTGCACACTAATTAAAAATGAAAGAAGAAATAGACAATACTCCTAAATTTTAATGTCATTATTTTCAGTGATTTTTTAAGTTTGAAAATTTGAAAAAATTTGACGAGCTACTCATTTTCTTGTGTATATGAATTCTAAATTATAAATCATTAAGATCAAAAAAGACAATTTTACTAGATAAAAAATAGCCTGAATTTAAAATATCCAAAAAAAACCCTGACCAAAACAAAGGATGCAAATTGCAAACAAGTTATCTACTTGAGATAACCAAATAATAAAGAATTTCCAATTTAGAGTTCAATTATACTATGGAACCTCAAACAAGCACAGGATTCCAAATAAATACTAAAACAATGGGAAATACCACTGACCACCTAAAAATTCACTTATTTTACTTCATTATTTTCTTATACTTCCTTTTGATGTCATCTTGTGAATAACTAGTTCAGTGGTTCCCAAACTATAACCAGGAAGAACCATTCTGTATTTAATTTCCTGTATTTTGAAAGTTTCTGTCTACTATTGTAGATTAATTAATAATTCACTTTTCCAATTTGTTGAGCAAAGATATACAGAATGAGCAATAAGAAATTATAATTAAAATGAGCTAATCATTACAAGCACCCTAAATTGATACAATTACAACCTAATGCAAAAAACTTTACAACTTAGTAAGCCTATTAAACTGTCCAGGCACTCCACTTAGCTTTTAAACGTTCCGGCTTATAAACGTCCATTAACACAGCCTACCTTTACTTAATTCTGTGTTCATTTAACTCAGTACAGGAAATCTGACCAAAGCATTAACTGACAGCATTCCTATACGAGAACACATAGCACTTATTACGTGACACACAATGTACTGTGTGATACCTGATTGGAGGTAAGGAGTAGCCGTGTTTTAAATAAGCTTTCCTAATGCCTAAGGCCAGTCACCCAAGATGAGTGGAAAATGTCTCCTCTCCTCACATACCTAATGAGAAGACACCTGGGATACAGTCAAAAGTGGACAGGGGATCACCATTGGAATAATTATAAATATTTATAACATGAAAAGGCAATAATCTTCCTTTATGGGAATCATTTTTGAGATCCTCAGTTCAAAGAAGTAACTGTCTACAAGGCTACCAAGAGAAATTTTATCTATTTCACAGAAAATATAAGTCAAAGATGATATATTACCAGAAATTATGGTTATTCTCCCTTAGAATGTTTTCATGAAAAGTTTAAAATGTCAATAAATAGTAAAAAACAAGCAGTTAAGTAAATTAGGCATGCATAACTCATGAACACATATCACATATCCTTTAACACTTTCTCATTCCAAAACCCAAAAGGACAAAAGAAACACCTAACAGGGCTGCAATTATTTTAAAACTGTGCTCTTATACCTAAAAATTCAAATATGGATAGATTGCACAAAAGAATAAAATATACAATTTTTTTATTTTAGTAGTTAAAATATCACCCTTCTTAAATGTTATCTCCACAATTTTAAATCTGACTTTTTAAAATAAATGTATTAATAAAGAAGAGTAACATCAGCATCATGGCGGAGTGAGCTCTTCCCTTAGTCTCTCCCCATAAGATACAACGAAAAGGACATTGAGAAACCACCAGAGGACATTCAAACAACACAATAGACGTCTGAGAGATCCATGCAGCCATACGTCTGAAGGTGGGGGTGCTGGACCCCCAGAAGGCAGTGGTAGAAGGCAAGTGGATCTCCTCTCCATCCCGAGCGGCAGCGATCTAGGGTGCGGGACCTTGCATGGCTACCAGCGAGTAACTCTGAGAGGAGAAGGGGAAAAAGGCAGCCCCCCACAGGAACTCTTTTGCTCTTTGAGTTGCCTCCTAGCCTGTGGGAACACTCCACATCAAGGCAGCTAAGCAACTGCAGGGGCATCCCCCCCAAGCCAAGCAGCCCAGGCGGGCAGACAGTGAGTGCAGAGCAGGAGCGCAAGGGATTATGCACGCAAGAGAAAGTGCCCCCCCGCCCCTGCCTGGCACACTGGCTCAGCCCATTAGCCAGAGCAGGGAATCCCCAACAGATCGCCTGCACTTACTCGTGAAAAGCAGCAGTGGCCAGCAGGCAAACACAGAGAAGCCCTTTTGGTACAGCTCCTAACGGACAGGCACAACTGCCAGGGGTTGCAGCAAGCTCAGAAAACACAGCTCCTGCCCCCCCAGTGGTGGCAGGTGGAATCAGTGACCAGATACTACCACTATGTGATGGCAAAAGTGCATCCAATCAAATAGCATGAAGAAGTGTATTAACATTCCAGACTAGAAGGAAAATGTCAAGTACCCAGAAATCAATCCTGAAGCCACAGAAATTTATAATCTAAATGACAGAGAATTCAATAGCTATCATAAAGAAACTCAATGAGGGCCAGGCCCGTGGCTTAGTGGTTAAGTGTGCGCGCGCTCCGCTACTGGCAGCCCGGGTTTGGATCCCGGGCGCACACCGATGCACCACTTCTCCAGCCATGCTGAGGCCGCGTCCCACATACAGCAACTAGAAGGACGTGCAACTATGACATACAACTATTTACTGGGGCTTTGGGAAAAAAAAAAAAGGAGGATTGGCAATAGATGTTAGCTCAGAGCTGGTCTTCCTCAGCAAAAAAAAGAGGAGGATTAGCATGGATGTTAGCTCAGGGCTGATCTTCCTCACAAAAAAAAGAAAAAAGAAAAAATGAGTTAAAAGAAAACTCAGAAAAACATTTCCATGAGCTCAGGAATAAAATCAATGAACAGAAGGAATTCTTCACAAAAGAGGTTGAAACTATAAAAAAAAGCCAATCAGAAATGTTGGAGATGAAGAACACAATGAATGAGATAAAGAAAAATCTGGATTCCTTAAAAAATAGAGCTGATATTATGGAGGACAGAATCAGTAATTTAGAGGACAGAAATATAGAAATGCCTCAGGTGGAGAAGGAAAGAGAACTAAGTCTAAAAAGAAATGAAGAAATTCTCTGAGAAATATCTGACTCAATTAGGAAATGCAACATAAGGATTATAGGTATTCCAGAGGGAGAAGAAAGGGAGAAAGGAGCAGAGGGCTTCTTCAAAGAAATCATAGCTGAGAACTTCCCAAACCTAGGGAAGGGGCTAGAATTACATGTAAATGAAACTAACAGAACTCGTAATTACATCAACGTAAAAAGACCTTCTCCAAGGCATATATTAGTAAACCTGCCAAAAGTCAATGATAAAGAAAAAATATTAAGGGCAGCAAGGCAGAAGAAAATAACCTACAAGAGCTGAAAGGAACCCGTATCAGCCTTTCAGCAGGTTTCTCAGTGGAAACCCTACAGGCTAGGAGAGGGTAGAATGATATATTCAAAATTCTCAAGACAAAAACTTTCAGCCAAGAATACTCTATCCAGCAAAACTATACAATGGAGAAATAAAAATGTTCCCAGATAAACAAAAGCTGAAGGAGTTCCTCCCTACAAGAAATGATCAGGAAGGCCCTCATATCTGGGAAAAAAAGGGTTTACAAAGCCTTGAGCAAGGACATAGACAGACAAAATCAGAAAATTGCAGCTCTCTATCAGAATAGGTTAGCAAACACATAATTATAACATTAAAGATAAAAGGAAGGAAAGCATCAAAAATAACTATAATCACTTCATTTTAATCACAAACTCACAAGACAAAACGGAATAAGTGTGACAACAATAACTCAAATGGGGAAGAGGAAATGATGGAACTTGCTTAGAATAAGGAAATAAGAGGCGATCAGAAAATGGACTATCTCATCTATGAGATTTTTTACACAAACTTCAGGGTAAGCAGTGAACAAAAAATCAGAACAGAGAAACAAATGATAAATAAAGAGAATACAATCATAGAGAATCAACAAACTGAATTGGCAGTCGGAAATACGTGGGACAAGAAACAAGGGAAATACAGAACAACTGGAAAACAAGTAGTACAGTGGCAGTATTAAGCCCTCATCTATCAATAATCACTCTAGGGCCGGCCCCATGGCTTAGCGGTTAAGTGCGCATGCTCCGCTGCTGGCGGCCCAGGTTCGGATCCCGGGCGCGCACTGATGCACCGCTTCTCCGGCCATGCTGAGGCCGCGTCCCACATACAGCAACTAGAAGGATGTGCAGCTACGACATACAACTATCTACTGGGGCTTTGGGGGAAAAAATGAATTAAAAAAAAAAAAATCACTCTAAATGTAAATAGATTGAATTCTCCAATCAAAAGACACAGAGTGGCTGCATGGTTTAAAAAACAAGATCTACCAATATGCTGCCTCCAAGAAACACATCTCAGCTCTAAAGACAAACACAGGCTCAGAGTGAAGGGATGGAAGGTGGTACTCCCAGCAAATGTCAAACAAAAGAAAGCAGGTGTGGCCATACTTATATCAGACAAAGAAGACTTCAAGATAAAAAAGGCAATGAGAGACAAAGAGGGACAGTATATAATGATAAACGGGACACTCCACCAAGAAGACATAACACTTATAAATATATATGCACCCAACACAGGAGCACCAAAGTTCATAAAGCAACTAATAACAGAGTTAAAAGGAGAAACTAACAGCAATACAATAATAGTGGGGACCTCAACACCTCACTTACGTCAAGGGATAGATCATCCAGACAGAAAGGCAAGAAGGAAGTAGTGGAATGAAATGAAAAACTAGATCACATGAACTTAATAGATTTATATAGAACACTCCATCCAAAAACAGTACAATAGGGGCCGATCCGGTGGCGTAGTGGTTAAGTTCTTGCGCCTCCGCTTTGGCAGCCAGGGGTTTGCAGGTTCGGATCCCGGGTGTGGACCTATGCACCGCTTATCAAGCCATGCTGTGGCAGGTGTCCCACATATTAAAAAACAGAGGAAAATGGGAACAGATGTGAGCTCAGGGCCGACCTTCCTCAGGAAAAAGAGGAGGACTGGCCACGGAGCTTAGCTCAGGGCTAATCTTCCTCATGAAAAAAAAAAAATACAAAAACAGTACAATACACATTCTTCTTAAGTGCACATGGAACATTCTCAAAGACAGACCATATGTTGGGAAACAAGGCAAGCCTCAATAAATTTAAGAAGATTGAAATCATATCAAGCATCTTTTCTGACCACAATGCTATGAAACTAGAAATCAGCTACAAGAAAAAAGCTGGGAAAGTGACAAACATGTGGAGACTAAACAACATGTGTCTGACCAACCAATGGATCACTGAAGAAATTTAAGGAGAAATCAAAAACTATCTGGAGACGAATGAAAATGAAAATAGACCATACCAACTCACATGGGATGCAGTCCTATCTGGTCCTAAGAGGGAAATTCATAGCAATACAGGCTCACCTTAACAAACAAAAGTCTCAAATAAGCAATATTTAACTATACCTAACAGAATTAGAAAAAGAAGAACAAACAAAGCCCAAAGTCAGGAGAAGGAGGGAAATAATAAAAATTAAAGCAGAAATAAATAAAATTGAAATCAAAAAGAGTAGAAAGGATCAATGAAACTAAGAGCTGGTTCTTTGAGAAGATAAACAAAATTGACAAACCCTTAGCCAGACTCACTAAGAAAAAGAGAGAAGGCTCAAATCAATAAAATGAGAAATGAAAGAGAAGAAATTACAAGAGATACCACAGAAATACAAACAATTATAAGACAATACCTGAAAAACTATGTGCCAACAAATTGGACAATCTAGTAGAAATGGATAAGTTCTTAGACTCATACAACCTCCCAAAACTGAACCAAGAAGAAATAGAGAATCTGAACAGACCAATCACAAATAAAGAGATTGAAACAGTAATCAAAAACCTCCCAAATAGTAAATGTCCAGGACCAGATGGCTTCTCTGAAGAATTCTACCAAACATTCAAAGACTTAGTACATATCCTACTCAAACTATTCCAAAAAATTGAAGAACACGGAACACTTCCTAACACATTCTACGAGGCCAACATCACCCTGATCCCAAAGCCAGACAAGAACACAAAGAAGGAAAACTATAGGCCAATACTGTTGATGAACATAGATGCAAAAATCCTCAACAAAATATTGGCAAACTAAATACAGCCATACATCAAAAGGATCACACACCATGATCAAGTGGGATTTATACCAGAGACACAGGGATGGTTCAACATCCACAGATCAATCAATGTGATACATCACATTAACAAAATGAGGAATAAAATCCACATGATCATCTCAAAAGATGCTGAGAAAGCATTTGACAAGATCCAACATCCATTGATGACAAAGACTCTCAATAAAATGGGTATAGAAGGAAAGTACCTCAACATAATAAAGGCCATATATGACAAACCCACAGCCAACATCATACTCAACGGGGAAAAACTGAAAGCCATCCCTCTGAGAACAGGAACAAGACAAGCGTGCCCACCCTCGCCACTCTTATTCAACATACTACTGGAGGTTTTGGTCAGAGCAATTAGGCAACAAAAAGAAATAAAAGGTATCCAAACTGGAAAGGAAGAAGTGAAACTCTCACTGTTTGCAGACAACATGATTCTATACATAGACAACCCTAAAGAATCCATCAGAAAACTATTAGAAGTAATCAACAACTATAGCAAAGTTGCAGGGTACAAAATCAACTTACAAAAATCAGTTGCATTTCTATACTCTAATAATGAAGTAGCAGAAAGAGAACTCAAGAATACAATCACAGGGCCAGCCC